GATTGCCTTACAGCGTAAAACAAAGCATCGCTTCGAGGCTCGGTAATTGAAGCGATTATCTGTTTGAAGCCTATTCTCCGGCGGGTAGAAAAATCATCACCTGGAATTCACTTTATCGCAGCAACAACAATTTAGATTTATACGGCAGCCTTCGTGCAGGGCAGTGTCTCGGAGCACTTAACTCTGAAACGAAAAATAATAAGGTTCAAGAACGTGCCGGGTTCGACGCTGTGTTTGATTGTGCTTGTTCGGGTGGACGTGAAAGGACCCGCGGTGCTCGTCAAAAAACAGCGGTGTCCTGTCCAGATGGAATCAATCCCTCACTTTGTGAGGAGACAGGACCCTCATCACATCACAGGACCCCCCCCCACCACCCACCCCCACAGGGCCGGAGACAGGACCCTCATCACATCACAGGACCCCCCCACCCCCACAGGGCCGGAGACAGGACCCTCATCACATCACAGGACCCCCACCCCACCCCCACAGGGCCGGAGACAGGACCCTCATCACATCACAGGACCCCCCCACCCCCACAGGGCCGGAGACAGGACCCTCATCACATCACAGGACCCCCACCCCCACCCCCACAGGGCCGGAGACAGGACCCTCATCACATCACAGGACCCCCCCCCCACCACCCACCCCCACCCCCACAGGGCCGGAGACAGGACCCTCATCACATCACAGGACCCCCACCCCCACCCCCACAGGGCCGGAGACAGGACCCTCATCACATCACAGGACCCCCCACCCCCACAGGGCCGGAGACAGGACCCTCATCACATCACAGGACCCCACCCCCACCCCCACAGGGCCGGAGACAGGACCCTCATCACATCACAGGACCCCCCCCACCACCCACCCCCACAGGGCCGGAGACAGGACCCTCATCACATCACAGGACCCCCCACCCCCACAGGGCCGGAGACAGGACCCTCATCACATCACAGGACCCCCCCCCACCACCCACCCCCACAGGGCCGGAGACAGGACCCTCATCACATCACAGGACCCCCCCACCCCCACAGGGCCGGAGACAGGACCCTCATCACATCACAGGACCCCCACCCCACCCCCACAGGGCCGGAGACAGGACCCTCATCACATCACAGGACCCCCCCCCACCACCCACCCCCACCCCCACAGGGCCGGAGACAGGACCCTCATCACATCACAGGACCCCCACCCCCACCCCCACAGGGCCGGAGACAGGACCCTCATCACATCACAGGACCCCCCCCCACCACCCACCCCCACCCCCACAGGGCCGGAGACAGGACCCTCATCACATCACAGGACTTTCCACTGTAAAGTCACTACACTTTACAGTGGAAATCCCGTGAAGCACTTTGAGACGTCTTGGGGACATGAATAAGACTTTGTACCGAACGCAAAGATTATTATCATTCTGTGCATTGCTTGTCCATACTCGTTGCAACTGGTTGTTTTCCTACAGGCCAGTTTTTGATGGCAGCTGCGCGGGTCAGTAGATTATGGCGATCGCAGCTCAGTGTTTTCAGGCTTTGCAATTGCCCACCCACCCTAACCCCCCCCCCACCCCTGCCCTGAAGGAATGTGCAGTTACTAATCTTTTCCACACCGATGTAAGGCTGTAGCGACGTAACAACAAAATTACATTTATAGAGCGCCTTTCACGTCAGGAGGACGTGATGTAACCCTCAGCTGCCATTGAAATCCACCCATCATCAATGAGTATACCCAAGTCACTGCGGTGTGTCACTAAAGAGAGGTGTAAGGCTCTATTGTCACACAGCGACACCCGCTAGTAATTAATGTCAAGTATAATGATTGAGTGAGTATTTGCAGGCAAACACAGGTGTCTTTCGGTGCACAGCAACTTCCCACAAACGGGTATGAGGAAACTCACTTCCGTTTTCCAATCGGCTGCTGCGTTTGCCTACAAAAACACACAGTCACTACACTTTACAGCAAATCCCATGAAGAGCTTTGAGACGTCCTCCCGGCATACGAGAGAGAGAGATGCTGCGCAAACACAAAATCTTTAACATCCATCTGAACAGAGCGAGAGAGTTGGGGTGAACATCTCGAACAAAAGACTGACCCTCCAACACTATGGCGCTCTCCTGTCATCGCGCTGGATTGTCAAGAGACTTATCTCAAAGGCCTGACGTGGGTGTTTGAACCCACAACCTTCGGACCCAGAGGCAAGAGCACTGCCGACTGAGCCTCAGGCTGACACTTGTAAGAGCCAGGAGGCTGGGCTTGTAATGGGTCCCAGCCGGCTCTCTCGCTTCGCTGACCCCTCACACAGTTTGTTCTGTTAGCCCAGCCCTTGGCAGAGGTCTCCCAGCTGTGACAGGAATAAATCTTTCTCAAAAGTTCCCTTTTGGTTTTTTTTTTAAAAAAAAGCACATTTGAAAAGGTTTCCCGTTCATGCATCCAGTGAATAATGAGGTTCCAGGGTTCGGCAGATGTGGTGGGAGCCGACAAGTCACCGAAAAACAGCTGGAAAAACAGCTGGAGTGTTATTATTAATGAGTGATGGGTCTTTGCGCAGAAGAAAAATTGCTGTTCATGGCGCAGTGATCCAACTACTTGGCCTGTGTAGTTTGGTGAGTGTTAGCTTACGACAAGAGAAATAATGACTGGCTCACTTAACCCACCCCCAACCCGGTTAGTGAGCATCCCACTCACTCGTGGTTCTGCAGTTAACAGAGGATACTGAGAGGCTGTAATCTAATCGAAGGATTCAGATGATTTATAACTGGAGCTGGGAAGGAAAGGTCTTTCCAGAGGGTATTAAATTCCTTCTCCCTTCTGTCCCAGTCTCTTACACATAGACACACACACACACACACACAATTAACAGTGATACAGCATGGAAACCCATCTAGTCTGTGCCACTATCTATACTCCCCACCACCAGTGACCACCCCTCTTATTCCCTGTCTTCCACTAATAATAATAATCATTGCCTCCAGTGTTAAAGTCTTTTGCAGGATTTACTGTAAATGTAATGTCTGTGTGTGTTTTTACAGGCAGCCAATTTGCACACAGCGACGTCCCACTGGCTCCTTGGGGGATGAGGGCGATTCAATGGGTAGTGTAATGTATAACAACTGCTCCCCAGCAATCAAGCAGCGGACAGACGCTCAGTAAATTAGCAGCAATGAATCTTTCAGTGAGGACGGCATTAAACATCAACAGCCTGACCTCTGCTCGTATCAGATTCCAGATCACACTGCCACCGCCTCTCCATCAGAGCAGCAATTTGACATGGACCTGGAGAGGAGCAGCACCAAGACAGAGTAGTGGGTGGGTGGCTCAGAGAAAGTCCCACACACTGCTCCGGGGTTTAGTTAACGGCTACACTATAAGGAGCTCAGGAAAGAGTTGCTTAAGGGTCAATATTCATCAGGGAAGGAGTTACGCAAGTTCGATGACCTTGACATCTATTACAACCAACGTGGGGGTCAGACGTGCATTTGGACAAGGAATGCTGAGGCAGTTCAGTAGATCACCCAGGCAGCACCTGAATCAATAGCAGTCAGCAGAACTAATTTGCTGTGTGCCGGTTCCCAAATTAGCCGTTCACTGAAGAAAGCCACACCGGTGTTTAATGGGATTATAAAGCTCTGCTTTATGTACGAGTTTGAGTTTACATAATAACAACTTACATTTGATACTGCGCCTCATCACGTCGTTGCGACGTCTCAAAGCGCTTCACGAGATATATTGTAAAGTGGAGTGACTGTATATTTTGTGGGTGAGTTATCAGGAGTGGATTCAGTTTTTTTTTTGGTCTTCTGTCCGAAATTTTTTTTGGCATGGAGGACGTCTCGAAGCACAGGATTTACTGTAAAGTTTAGTGTGTATTTTGTAGAACTCAGCAGCTAATCTGCGCAGCGAAAACAACAATACTGCGGTGTAGTTTGCTGCTGTGACTCTGTCCCTTTACGAATCTGGTCTTTGTGGAGGTAAAAAGGGATAAAGAGAGCCTTTGTGGGGATCAGCGTAGCAAGGAGGCTGCAAAGGCTAAATGACTGAACAAGGGTTTGGTATAATCTCCCCATCTCTTGTGCTCCTGCTGCCCGGGTGCAGTGGCAGTGCTGAATGACTCACGGCTTATTTGCCGGGATTTACCGGACTGTGTGCGGGTGGCCGTTACTCTACACCCCTGCCCCACCCAGGGATTGCACAGCCTCACCTGTGTAAACCCACAGATGTTAGGAACAGACTAGCCACAGACACACGATCAGCAACGTAACAATAGCCACATCGGTGGATGAGGGAAAGCGAGCTGAACAGTTAAACCCGAGGGAAGGAAGGACAGACCAGAGATGGGAGCCCCCAGCCCCAGTGTATGTTGACATTAGTATCAGCCCCTGGTTAAGATTCTGGACAAAAACAAAGGCTCTGCTTATTTTCACAACCGAAGAACTTCCTTTTCGAGTGCGATGATGGTCATCTCCTCCCTCCGCTGTGCTCGGTGTCAGACTCCACCACCTGTTAAGCGCTCTGTCACACTGTCCCAGGTGAAGGGCTATATACATGCGAGTTGTTGTTGAACAGGGTGTGCTGCATCAGCTGAGAATTACTTATTTAATAAATACTGATAGAGCGAAGGTTTGACATCCTGAAAGCGGGGCAATAAGTCTCTTTTCCGCCCAGCGTGACCCATGCCTGAGGAAAGCAAAGGGATTTGATTCTTTTATCACAAAAAGGACAAGTTGTGACCAAACACACGTGCCAAACTGGGCGCACGTTATAATGTTAGGAGTCAGCCTGGCTGATCCGGACCCCCCTTCCTCGGAGTCAGAAGGTCATGGGTTCAAGCCCCCAAATTGGGGACTTTCTACAATAACGACAACTTGCATTTATATAGCGCTCTTCAAGAGGGATTGCGTCTCGGACTGCTGTCTAGTCTGCCACTCTAACCTTCCGACGAGATGTAAAACCGAGGGTCCTGTCCATCTGTTCAGGTGGAGAAAACGGCTTCACAAAAAAATGTAGTCTTTGGATTATACAATACATATATTAAAATCACAATTCCCGGTTGATTTCATGTACACAATAGTAGTCACAGCAATGGAGGCCCCTGTCCTCACAACCAAGGCTCAGGGTTGGGGGGGCGGTTTGTATGTTACAGTGGGTGCCTGACACATGGATGTTACACAAGACAGGAAATATTGAAATAAAACGTTCCCTTGTTAGTACATCACCACACATTCTGGGCAGTGAATAAAGAACCTGAAATCAGAAGGCGTCCCCAGCCCTGCAGTCTGCCGATCGCTCTCCGTCCCCAGTACTTATGCATTATACACCAAATATGGATATGGCTTTGCTCCTGAAACATGAGATAATAATAATCCTTGCATTTGATATGGGGCCTTGTCACGTTGTTGAGACGTCTCAAAGCACTTGGCACAATATACTGTGAAGTGGATTGATTGTGTATTACGTGGGCAAAACGCGGCAGCCAATTATGCACAGCAGCGTCCCACAAACAGTCGTGGATTGAGTGACCAAATTGAGCTTATTGGTTGGTGTTTAGATATCATTAAACAACCTACAAATGTTTAACAGGGTGGTGAGCGATGGACGTAATACTGTGGATGAGGGGTGGGGGAAGTGGGGAATAATGGGCCCCTGGGGTTGGGAGAAGACTCTCTCTCTCTCTCCAGTTGTAGGAGGTGGCTTATACATTGCATAAGAACACAGCAAATTGGCCCTTTTCGATCCAGAGATCCAGACCACTGTGTCTATCTGACTGGATACAGGTCACTTGGAATCGCAACCAGAGAATTTGTTACCACTCTCAGCTCTCTGTCTGCACAACAAATGCGGGGAATAGGTACAACACCAACAAACCCATGAACAATCTGGCGGATGTTCTGAAGGGCGTTTGAGATTATTTTGAATGTAAAGGTAAGGACGCATTTCTCATCCCTGAGAGATGCCATTGATTCCAGGCAAGCGACGTGTAGAGCTTGTTGCCTCAAACTGGAATCCTGTCAAGTGAAATAGTACCTTCTTGCGGTTTGGGCTCAGGAGTAATGTTCAGGAGTAACGCTGGACACTCGGAAAAATCTCCTCTTCAGATCAGTGCTCTGTGGGATTGCCTCTTTACAGCTGAAATAACACTTGTTTGTCAAAGGGTGGGCTATATGTTTATATATAGCCAGTGCATTAAAGTTTCTATTGCAGAAAGACATAGAGAGCGAGAGAGTGTTATTGGCTGTCTTTAGGTCAGCAGAGCCGGGGACCTTGACAAGCAGCGAGAGCCCACAGGGAGAGAGAGAGAGAGAGAGAGAGCTTCTCCACGTGGTTTTCCCAACGGCTCAGTCGTCGGGCTCTGTCACACACTGCTCCACGATCTCCCGCAGGCTCGGGTTCTCGATTGCTGCCGCTACTCGCTCCTTGTCGTTGATCTGTTTGTTAACTGAAGAACAAAGAGGGGAGTAAAACAAGGAAGAGGTTAGTCATGTCCTATCCAACGCTGGTTTTAGAGTTCAGTGAGTTCCGCATGATCAACAGCACATTACATTGACACTGCGCCTTTCACGTTAGGAGGTCATCCTAAGGTGCTGGATAATCAGGGATTTGGACCCGAGCTGGGGGTTGGGATCAGGAGGGGGGGCGGAGGGCAGGGAGCATAGGGTTAGGAGGGTGACCAAAGGCATGGTCAAAGAGGAGGGTCTTGAGACGAGTCTGGGAGAGGACAAGACCAAGAGACTGTGGGATGGAGTTGATCAGAGAAATTGCAAATCTCTCAAGAAATAGAACAAAACAATTGCTTCGTATTACTGGCATTTAACAAACGATCCAAGACCAGCGCCCAAGACAAAAACAAAGTGAAATGACTCACTATCTTCCTCTGTAGAGTGGCTTCCTTCAGAAATGTAGATTTCAATCTGAAAAAGTGCACAATCATTGAATGTAACTCATTTTGTAAATGTCCTCTGGGGTTTCAGACGGTTGAACACTGGAATTGGGAAATGAGGTCTCGAAATTGCAAGCAACCCACCCCCAGATGTGAATGAATTCCTAACCTCGTTAACTCTTTCAAGAAGCAGCATTATAGGAATGAAGTTAAATCGAATTGGGTTTGGTACGACAGATTATTAAACCTGACAACACCATTAAAATTATTAAACTGCCATTAAACAGTAACCATTAAACTGCCAACGCAAAGGCTTGGGTTCATACCTTATGTTCGAACGGTAAACATCTTTGCAGCTTCACCCGTAGACACAGCCCTATATTTGATAAACAAGAAACAAAACACATTAGTCTCAGAATTTGGATCGTGGATGTTTGCGGGACATTGCTATGCACAAATCGGCTCCAACGTTCGCCTGCACAATAAACAGTCACTACGCTTTAAAGTGAATGCTTCGAAGTGCTTTGCGACATCTTCCCCACGTGAAAGATGCTGCATCAAATGCAGGGATTATGATTAATTATTATTACCTGTCGTTCTTCCTCTTTATAGAAGGAAGTTTCCTTATTAGCATCAGGCAGCACAGTCCTCTTGTTCTCCTCTACAGCACCCCCGCCCCCCCCCCACCTCCACCCCATCCCTGCTCTCCAAAACGTTATCGCTCAGTTCCCATGCTTTGATTGACAAAGTAATTTGTTTGGTCAACAGACTTATTTAAGACCTTTATTTCTTTTAACAGCCAACTGTGTGAAACTTCTTTTAGCTCCAGAGCAAGAAACTTGATTCTGTGCCCTCTGGACCTTTGACTCTCCACCCCGTCCAATCATTTTGTTTGGGGTGAAAACAAAACGTAGCTTAGGGTCGCAACCTGTCACAAATAGGAAATCAGACACACAAAGTCCAGGAACTGCCCCCCCACTCCATTTACACACAGCAAAGGGACAGCTCTGGCTGAGCGCTGGACTGTGACCAAGTTTAATTCCATCTGAAGGGAGGTCACAACCTGCAATAGAAAGCTCCAGCTGCAGACACCACAGTGGCCCCCTGACAGTGGCACCGAGGAGATTAAGGAAACCGTATAAAGCGCTCGGGAAAGAGAAAGGAAGTGATGAGGCCTTGTCCTTATTGTGAGAGCGAAACAATACTTTCGGTTCCGCTTTGTGCCGGTTCCAAACATCTGTCAGCTCGTTGCCACAACAACAATTACACTTTTATAGCGTCTTTCACGTCGGGAGGACGTCCCAAAGCGCTGGACAGTGTGGAAGGCTGGAATTGCCGGTAGTGTGTGGTGGGGGGGGTCAAAGTTGGGGAGGAGTAAAGTATTCAAGGGTTTGGTGAGCGAGTGGGTGAGTGGCATTAGACGAGGTGGATTAATAATTAATAATAATCCTTGCATTTGATACAGCGCCTTACATTCCAAGCTAGTGTGCTGTCTCCCTGATGACCACAGAGAGAGCTTCATTACTGCCTGGATGGCCAGTGGTGCTGGCACTGGGCAGATAAGCATTCTACGCCAGGGCAACATGCAGACATGGAGCAGTGTACAGCTCTGATAAAGGCTTGGGTGGCTGAAGGAAAAGAAAGAACAGCTTCTACTGTTACCCTAACAGACCCTTATCAGGCAGCCAACACTGTAAATCTGCTGAAAACCGGTCGTTACCTTATCCTAGAAATACAGCGCAGAAAGAGGGTCATTTGGCCAACTGTGCCATTGCTGACATGTGATCTTAAGACCATTGAGGACAGGAATCCTCCTTCATTAAGATATTTTCTCCTTGATCTCTTGACTCTACCCACCCTGCACCATCAAGATGCGGGGAGGGGTGTTAGTGGATACAAAATGGTCACTGGCATCGGAATAGATTTGCTTTGCCTAAATAATAACGATAATATGATAATATGAGAATAATCCTGGCAATCCTGGCATTGATGCAGGCTTCATCACAACAACAACAACAAGATTCCATTTATAGAGCGCCTTTCACGTCGGGAGGACGTCCCAAGGCGCTGTACAGTTGGGTCAGGACCCGAGCATTGGGGGGAAATGGTCAGGGTGAGGGGAGGGAAGGGAGGGAGCGAGGAGGGGGTAGAGAGTCGAGAGGGGAGCTGAAGGCACGGTCAAAGAGAAAGGTCTTGAGACCGGCCTTGAAGGAGGAAAGGGAGGAAGTGGCGAAGGCACTGGGGGATGGAGTTCCAGAGCCTCGGGGCTGAGAGGCTGAAGGCCACCGATGGTAGGGCGGTTGGGGCGGGGGATGTGGAGCAGACCGGAGCCAGAGGAACGGAGGGTACGGGCAGGTAGGTAGGGGGATAGTAGGTCGGAGAGGTAGGAGGGAGCGAGGCCGTGAATGGCCTTGTAGGTGAGGATGAGGATCTTGAATTCGATCCTCTGGGGGATGGGGAGCCAGTGGAGGCGAGCGAGGGTGGGAGTGATGTGGTCGAAGCCTGGTGCGGGACAGTACACGAGCTGCAGAGTTCTGAATGACCTGCAGCTTGTGGAGGGAGGGGCCGGGAAGGCCGGCGAGGAGAGAGTTCCCATAGTCCAGCCTTGAGGTGATAAAGGCGTGGACCAGAGTTTCAGCAGCGTGAGGGGTGAGGTAGTGCCGTAGTCTGGCGATATTCCGGAGGTGATGGAAGGCGGTGCCAGTTGTGGTGCGGATATGAGGGAGAAAGGACAGCTCAGGGTCGAACAGAACCCGAGGTTCCTGATGGCTTTGAGAGGTGGAGAGTGCAGCCTTGGATGCTGATGCTGTCAGCGCCTGAGGTGCGGAGGCGCTGACGTGAGCCAATCAGGAGGGCCTCAGTTTTGCGCACGTTGAGCTGAAGAAAGTTGTCTCTCGTCCAGGACTCGATGTCGGACAGGCAGCTGTCAGGACATCGGTGGTCGTGGAGTTGAGGGTAGAGGAGGAAAGGTAGAGTTGGGTGTCATCCGCATACATGTGGAAGTTAACCCCATGTCTGCGGATGATGTCACCACAGGGGGAGCATATAGAGGGTGAAGAGGAGGGGACCGAGGACAGAGCCCTGAGGGACACCGCACGAGACAGTGCGGGGGGTGGAGGAAAAGCCGATTGTGGAAACAAAGTGAAGACGGTGGGAGAGGTACGACCTGAACCACTCAAGGACAGGGCCTTGAAGGTTGAGGTGGGAGGACAAGCGGTGGAGGAGGATAGCGTGGTCGACCGTATCGAATGCTGCCGATAGGTCGAGGAGGACGAGGAGGCAGAGGGAGCCCTGGTCGCAGATGGTCAGGATGTCATTGGTGACCTTGACCAGGGCAGTTTCTGTGCTATGGGCAGCACGGAAACCCGACTGAAGGGGTTCGAATAATGAATGGGTGGAGAGGAAAGAGCGCAGCTGGGAGGCCACAACTCGTTCAAGGACCTTGGACAGGAAGGGGAGGTTGGAGATGGGCCGGTAGCTTGATAGCTGCGACGCATCAAGGGATGGTTTTTTCAAGGTGGGAGTGATGATGGCAGTTTTTAAGGGAATGGGAACAGAGCCAGAGGAGAGGGACAGGTTGACGATGTCTGTGATATGTGGGGCAAGGAGGTGGAGCTGGGAGATAAGGAGTGGAGTGGGGATGGGGTCAAGGGAGCAGGTGGTGGGTTTCAGGGATAGGATGAGTTTGGTGACAGAGGGTGGGGAAACGGGTACGAAAGTGTGTAGGGGAGGATGGGTAGGAGTCGGAGTGTGGGAGGGTCAAAAGGTCTCAAATCGCTTCACAGGATTTTACTAAAAAGTGTAGTGACTGGTGTATTTTACAGTCCAGGGGCCCAGCTCAGTCCCTTTCCCTTGAGCCCTCCTTTGCCTCCTTCAAGGCTCGTCTCAAGACCCTCCTCTTCGACCGCGCCTTCAGTCACCGCCCACTACCCCCACCCTCCGTGGCCTCCACCCCTCCGGATCTCAACCTCCAGGTCGGGACCAAATCCCTGACTGTCCAGCGCCTTGGGACCTCCTCCTGACGTGAAAGGGCGCTGAGTAAACGTAATGTGTTGTGGTTGACCACCGCTGCTGTTCACTCACCGATCAGCGTGGCCAGAGAGCAGTGGGGGACGGTGGGGGTGAAGCGGATGACGACGAGATATTTGTCGTCCTCCAGCTCTTTCACCTCCACACACTCCTCACAAACCACCTCCAGCTCCTCCAGGGTGTTCGGCTTCTCCGGGTCACGAATTGTCCGAATGATATCTGCCAGAGGACGGAAAACGCAGGTGATTTAGCCTCCGCCGGATAAACACGGCCCGAGTGACCTGGTTCTGTGCTGCAACGTTTGCTGCGGTTCAATTGAACCTTTTCCCTCGGGCCACCTTTCACAATGAGAAACGTGGCGTTCGTCTGCCTTTCAGTCACAGAATTCCCAGTCGGACAGTGACTCGAATTTGGTTTTAATAAAATAATAATAATAATAACCCTTGCATTTGATACAGCGTCTTATCATGACTTCGAGACGTCCCAAAGCGCTTCGCGGGACGCACTGCAAAGTGAATCGACTGTATGTTTGTGGGCGAAACGCGGCGGCCGACCGCCCGCGAGCGGCAGCGTCCCCGCGAACAGCCGCGGGTTGAGGCGACCGATTCACTGTTGTTTCTTTCCCTCTCCCTCTCCTCTCTCTCTCTCTCTCTCTCTCTCGAGGGATTACTTTCAGGCGCGGGCGAGCGGCGCGGGGCGGCTCGCCCAGGGTCTCGCCCCCCCTGCCGGGGATGGAACCTGTGCCCCTGCGCTCGCGAGGCGAGGGCTCGTAACCACCGGTTGACATAGTTTGCTTTTAAAAACTTGTGCCTTTGACAGTCGCCCTAAAGCCCTTTAACCTCTCTCCCCCCCCTCCCCCCACCCCGACACCCCCCTCCCCCTTATTTCTATCTAAAGTAACTCTCGCCTCTCACCCACCGTAAACCTCTAATGCTTTCTCTTCCATCTTTTTGGTTTTCTCCGCATCTTTTTTGCCAGACAGACGCGAGATAAGGACGAACTTTGCCACCGCGTAGGACACGAGCCCAGAGACTATTTCCATCTTCCAGCCATTCCTGGGCCACAGACTTCCTGGTCTACCAGACCAGACACATGGAGCGGAGAGAAACCAAATAATAATAATAATAATAATAATAATAATCCTTGCGTTTGATACAGCGCTGTTCACGTCGGGAGGACGTCCCAAAGCGCTTCACAGAACACACTGTAAAGTGAATTGACTGTATATTTGTGGGCGAACGCGGCAGCCAATTGCGCACAGCAATGTCCACAAACAGTCGTGGATTGAAAATGACCAATTTATTATTGTTGTTGGTTTTGGAGGGAATATTATTAGGCTCTGTGTGGAGTAAGGAAACTTGCCCAAGGTTTCGCCCTCTGCCTGGAATTGAACTCAGGTCTCTCACTTGCAAAGCGAGTGCTCTAACCACTGAGCTACAGGACTCCACAAAGCCAACACCCTCCCACCCCAAAATTTATCGGGTGTCTCAGTTTGAAGCCATCGTTTTAAGTTACGAACCTGTACTGTAACACCACTGGACGCGTTATTAGAAATAACAAAGGAAATAATAAGAGCCTATAATGAATAAAAAGCGTCGTGTTCAACCCGGCGCCTCGGCGGCTCGTCAGGACATCTCAAAGCGCGTGGCAGGAGTGCGGCGAAGGCGCGGCAGCCAATTACGCACGGGATCCCGTAGCGCTGTTGGAAAAGAGAAGAGAGTTTCTCTCTCTCTTCCCCTCTCTCTCTCTCTCTTTCTCTCCCCCGCCACCACCCCCTCCCCGCCCGGTGCGCTGGCCGACAGTCCACCCGTGCAATAAAATTGGTCGCTCGATCCCCGACTGTTTGTGGGGACGTCGCGGTGCGCCCAATTGGCTCACAAAACACACAGTCACTGCACTTTGCGGTGTGTCCCCGTGAAGCGCTTTGAGACGACGCGAAGGCCCGATAAGACACCGTATCCAATGCAGGGATTACTGTGATGATGATGATGATGATGATGATATGAGAGGAGCTGTGATGAGCCTCCAGTGTTGTTGTTGTTGTTGTTGTTGTGTCCAAGATGGGATCACGTGCCCTCAACCCCGGAGTTCGATTGCTTCTGCCTGACTTTCGGAATCTCCCTCTAACGGCATCTCCTGGCGGCTCAACCTAACCTGATTAGGCGGCCCGCCCACTTCACGCTGATTGGCTCAGCGACGGTAGCGCACCGGCTTCCTGGATCCCGACTGGTTGAGCCACGCGTCAATCGTACGCGGGCCGGAAGCTGATAGGCCGGTGCCTCTACCGGTCAACCCCTACTGCTGCCCTCTAATAGGCTGGCAGAGGCGTCGATCAAAAGCTGCCCGGGTTCCAATTGGCCGAGCCGAGCGCCCATCGGGCCTCTGCTGCGCCGGATAGGCTGAGACCGTGTCCATCATACTCGGGTCCCGCCTCCAACCCGGCCACAAAGTTAGGTGGTGGCGGGTGGGATGTAAACAGCGAGGGAGGCCCGGACGCTGGGGTTTGGGGGACATGGAGGCCGAGGCCCGGGGTCTGGCGGTGCTGTTGGACGCCGCCGACGAGTTGAGGGACTCGAAGGGCCTGACCCGGGCCAAAGCCCTGAGGTGTTTCCAGACCCTGGGCGGTGTGTCAGCCGACGGGGGGCAGCTGCGCCTGGCCGCTCTGTGCCAGGAGCCCGGCTCGGCCGTGTACTGCCGCAGGAGCGTGCCGTGTCAGGCCGGGAAGTTCGTCGAGTGAGTCCGGGAGGCGGTGGCTGTTGGTGGCGCGATTTGGGGATACGGTGGGGAGGCGGGCGGGAGGGGGGGGGGAGCGTTAAATGGCCCCCCAACTGGTTCCCGCTGTCTTCCGGCGCGCCAGGAATTCTGGGAGTTGTAGTTCTGGAGTGGTGGTGGTGGTGACGTAGCCTCTTACTGTCCCCCCCCCACACACACACACACATACACCCCCCCCACACACATACACCCCCCCACACACACATACACCCCCCCACACACATACACCCCCCCACACACACATACACCCCCCCCACACACATACACCCCCCCACACACACATACACCCCCCCCACACACATACACCCCCCCACACACATACACCCCCCCACACACATACACCCCCCCACACACACATACACCCCCCCACACACATACACCCCCCCACACACATACACCCCCCTACACACACATACACCCCCCACACACACATACACCCCCCCCACACATACATACACCCCCCCCACACACATACACCCCCCCCCACACACACACATACATCCCCCCCCCACACACACATACACCCCCCCCCCACACACACATACACCCCCCCCCACACACACACATACACCCCCCCCCCCACACACATACACCCCCCCACACACACATACACCCCCCCCACACACACACACACTGCACCCTGCCCCTCGAGCTCACTCGGCCGCAAAAATATACGCGGTCGCTCCGCTGCAGTGTATCCTGCGAAGCGCCTTTGAGACGTCTTGACCACGCGATAGGGCGCTCTTATCAACCGCACGGATTGCGCTACTCGATTGTTATCAATGATCGTGCCCACGTGCCCACGTGCCCGGGCCGCTGTGCAGTGTGGTGTATAAAGGCTGGCACAAACGCGTCAATCAAAGTAGGGTAATGCCCGACTGTCCAATGTCGAACATTGCTGCATCCTTACCCACGTCCCTCAAATTGGTCGATGCATGAATAATATGCTAAAGAAGCTGTCTCGTCTCAACGTAAATCCAATACACTGCAAATTTCATTCCAAGTTGAAATTCTCTGTATTCACGACCTAATTTGCATCTATATAGTGTCCCTCACACTGGGTAGCGTCACTGAATTGTAATTTACATAACCAATTCCAATATGTTAAACCATTTCCCTATTTGGGGCTTACACTTTTATCTAAATGGGCATCTTTTATCTCTCTTGAATATTTTCTGTAGTTTCATTTGGGAAACAACCGCGAACTCACACACCTCCCCAACCAGGCAACGACTTCTGGCTTTAAACAGTCGCAATGACCTTGGGATCTATGAGCTTCATGTCCAGGATGGTGTTTGTGATGTCACCAACTCTCACAGTTGCAATGAAGAGGCCTTGAGGAAGCTGATCAAAAGCAAAAACCTAAGTGAGTATTAATACAAAACAGTGGGACGTTGGACCGTCCGGATCACAGAGCAATATATTAATCTTGAAAGTAATTTCAAAGTCTTGTTTCCGAGGGTGTGAATGATATCAGTCAATTTACCAACCTTAGTGGCAGCCTCTTATTCTTGGGAAATCTCATAAGTGCTGCCCCTGGCCTGTTAAGTTTAAAACTCAAAACTCTTGATAACTAAATAGATTAAAAGTACGTTGTGTGTTGTATTGTGTTGCAGGTCTGCCATTGTCGTTTGAAGTGAAGATTCTGTCGTTTAAGGATAGCAAGTCCTTCATACTGCTGGACAGTTGTATTCTACTTCATGTGTTTTGGTTGGAGGGAACTTCAGAAGCAGATGCTTTGGATGGCTTTGGTCTGTGTCTACCTCAGCAGACTCCAGGGACAATAACAGACGGACAGATTTGCCAAGAAATGCTCTTCTTGTTGGACAGCGCAGGCTGGATCTGTATCCTTTTTCTCCTCTTCTTTAACGTATTGCTAATGCTTAAAGCAGATTATGAATAAGTCCTTGCATTTGATATAGCACTTTTCATGTCTTCTAGACGTCTCAAAGCTCTTCACAGAATATGCTGTAAAGTGAATTGACCATATATTTGTGGGCGAACGCGGCAGCCAATTGCGCACAGCAATGTCCCACAAACAGTCGTAGAATGAAAATGACCAATTTATTATTGTTTTGTTTTGGAGGAATTATTATTAATTACAGTTAGCAGAACAGCCTTTGAGTTAAGTATTACATTCAATAGCAGAACTCTCAATTCAGAGAAGGACTAAATATAGATGTCAGAAATGAACCTCCTTCAATGTTCAAGTAAATTCCAAGACTAGAATTTTTTGAATTCGGAAGCTAATCATTTGTTAATTTCTCAAACAATACCTAAAAGCATTCAGAACTAACATACCAAACTGGGGGAAAATGTACTTTACTGAGCTACTTGAATGAAGAGAGCTATCAGGAAATGGCTTTGAGGGTCGACACGGGTAGCAAGTAAATAGAGGGTATAAGAGAGTGGAATAGGAGGGAGGGAATATAAAAACCAGCTTGGGTATTTGGGCAAAATGGCTTGTTTCCGTGCCATTCTATGTAAGACACTTCAAGGGGTTTGATACTGTGTCATCTTGAGCTAATGATAGGAGATTTCAACATGCTCAATATATGGCTTATGGTGGTTGGAGGGAAGAGGAGAGAAAGTGATCTTGAGGCATGAGAGCAAGAACCTAGTCAAATGCTCCCAGATGATCAGGAGGGAAGAAAAAAATGTCTTAAGTGTATAATATTGCTAATGCAGTAATAGGACAAAATAGGGCCCTAAGTGCTTCTAATGCTCTACAATTACTTTTCTTAATGCAGTCCTTTTGAAGACATTTACAGCACTGTGGATGGGAAGCAGCTGGGTAGTGTTCATCTTGCAATTTGCCAGTCTGGGTTCACTGAAGAGACAAATGAGCTCTGTGATCTCTCCAATCTGACCAGACTGTGGGTATCACACGAGCTGGATGTGGTAGTAGTTGTGAACTGCTTTAACTGCGCCTTTTGTGTCGACTTGGAAATCTATTTCAGGTAAACTGATAATCCTGCTTGTAAAAGTGAAATCTGAAATCAATGGTTGCTAACAAATCACAGTTCTGCCAACAACATGGGATGTTGGAAACTTCTGTATCTACTTGTATAATGCAGTGAGAATATCTGGTAAAGATTCAGTAGTCAATCAAACATAGGAACACAGGAAACATAGGAACAGGAGTAGGCCGTCAGCACCTCAAGTCTGTTCCGCCATTCTATTAGATCCATAGATTCTATTTGCCTCATATCCCTTGATACTCTTACTTAACAAAAAATATAACCAGTTGTATTGTCTAAAGCCTGCGGTTAAACATGGTCTGAATTCAGGAGATTCATGTTAACTGATAGTCCTGGTGAGCAGCAGCGTTTATGTTTCCTCAGAATAGGTAATGTTTTATGCAAGCGATCAACTTTTTATATTATGCAGGAAGTCTTGTCAATATAATGACCCCTTCCATGCTCTGCATCTTCTATTTAAAATACATTCCTGCAATTGAAGAGATGTACTGTACAGAGCTTTTTGTGTTGTGGAAGTTGACCTTCAGTGCTGATACTTGGCATCATTCCCATTCGGTTTCAGCATGCTCTAATGCCCTTCTCTTTAACATGCCCTTGAGTGGGACACAGGAGAAGATCATTCCTGCTGTGTTTCCTTCAGGATTCATATCTTCTGTGAAATTCAAATGATGATTTTCTTTCTTTCAGAAAACACCCTGAGCATTTGAGGCGCGTGAGTAAAGCTTCTGTCAACTTGCCTTTGAAAGCGCCTGCTGGCATTGATGAGGATGAGATTGCCAGTTCTGTGTACAGCGATAAAGTACTTAACCTACCATTTCAGACAGACAGGTAAGAGTAAACCTCTGTGGAAGCTGTTTTGAATATAAAATAATTTGAATACATTTCATTGCCTTGCGTGGAATCGTGCATTCTTTGTGAAAGCAGTGTAGTTGATGTCAAGAGTTCCAAATGTTTAGTCGGTGAACTTTGTGAGTTGCTGGAGCTTCGTCACTTAATTTTTCTTGTTAGTTAATATTGTGCTTAAAGTAAGGAAAGTTAGTGGTGCAGACTGGAAAACATTTTCTATTCTTGATACCCAGGGTCGATTATTCACTGCCTCACTGATGATCTATCTATGCCATTCAGTTTGTTATGGTGATTGGAACCATACAGTCTTAATCTGATTGCCCCTACTTCATTGTTTGATGTTTGGAGATTGCAATCAGTGCAGTTGTTTATGCAGAGAATGAGAAGAATTCAATTTAATTTTCAATCAACTATCCAAGTACTTGAGGAATTTTCTAGCACTGCCAAAGCTATTCAGTGAACTTTATATACATTTTCATGAAGCTTTTCTGAGTTCCACAAGGATCCAGGTCTTGAGTTTAGGAGATGCCTTTATATAGAAGGAATTCAGAGATTGGAATTAATTGGGTTCAGGTATCAGGTTTTTCTTCCACAAAATATAGTCAATTCACTTTACAGAAGCTCTTTGAGACGTTTCAAAGACGTGATGAGGCACTATATCAAATGCAAGGTTTATCATTATTATTACATCAAAAGAAAGCGGAAATGAAAGAATCTATAGCACTATCTTTTTCTACAAATAGATTGAATTCCTGGGTGGAAATGCAAATGTAGAAAGAGTAATTGGCCAATTCACTGTTTATTGCCAAACAATCATTGTATACAATTTACTGTATTTGTGTTTAAAAATATTAACAGGTCATGGAAGGCTCGGTTGGCAACTTTCTACAACCAGACTAAAGCACCGTCAGCAGAAGGCTTGCAGAACAGATCCCCTTCCTCCTGGTATAACCACCTCTCACCTCCAAACCCAAATGACGTCCACCACCATATTGACTTTGCACAATCTCAGCAGAAAGTGACCAAAGTTTTTGCACAAAGAGAAGATGTGAATAAAGGCCTCCTGGCAAATGAATTGAGAGGGGTGGTGCAGCTTCAAGGGCTGAAGGAAACGATGAGGGTTGAAACCGTGTCCGTTTCTGGATTCAGCATTTTATTCTCACTCGCCACACCGGACAGTGAGTCAGTGACAGTTGTATTCTGGGACTTGGAAACTCAAGAAGTGATGTATCATCACCTGGATGGCCACTGTGTGCCCGTTGAGGATGATGGGAAGGAGCAGTTATGTTTGTTTCTCACAGGTACGAAGGTGTATGATTGTGATTTCAGGTGTCAGCTAGGGTTAGGGTTACCTCGAATTCACGGAAAGATAAGGAGATGCTGTGGGCGGTATAGGGATTTGTAGTGAGGGTGAGGAAGTCAATGTGTTGGGAGATAAGGAGTCAATGGAGCCTGGCGACGACTCGGGCAATGGGCCTATGGAGCTTCAGGTCAGGATGCGTGTAGTGGGGTTTTGGATTAGCTGAAGCTTGTGAATGATGGAACTAGGGAGATTGCAAGGAATGCATTCGAAAATGCCAGATAGGAATTAACAAAAGTGTGAATAATCAAATGGCAGGAAGATGCCTGGCTTCAGTTCAGTTTTGCTTCAGTCCCTGACTTCTGATCTCTGCAATGGTCTATTCTCCAGAGCGATGATTTGACTGGGAATCTACATTTGGAAGATGCAAAATATTCCCACGATTTCAGAGAATCGCGAGTTAGGAGCGCTGTGAAATGTCCTCACGCTCATAGTAAATAATCCAAATCTATGGCAGAAAATTGGGTTGACAAATGTGTACAGCTGTTAATGTAATATAAAATCAATAACGTGGCTCCAATTTGTTTTGTCTAGACTCTGGTCTCTCCATGGTGCTGTTTGGCTTCTCTCAGGAGGATCTGCTGAACCATTTGATGATTTATGGGAAAGCAGGCATTGTGGATTCACTGTGTCACCTCAACCATTGGAGCCGTTGTTCTATTCCCATCCACGCATTAGAGGTAATAGAAATGGAGATTGCTGCAGACTTTTTAAATTACATTTTAAATTGGTACTGTTCATCAGGAGATTTCACTACAATTCATTTGTGGGTGTGCAACACACTCTGTAGTCTTAAATCCTGATGTTCTTTAATAAAAGGGAAAGAGTAAAATGTACTCATTCAAACTTAATTTTCCTTTGAAACTGACTCCAGTCTGAACTGAAGGCTTTAGTCAGATTCGTACCAGACCTGGTATGAAAATAGAGCATATTGTGTAAACACCTACACATCTGCTACTATGAATTTTTCTTTGAAAAACAGCTTTTTATTGGATTTTCATTAAACGTGTTGAGTGAATTGACAGGTTTTTTNATTCACTCTGGACTTTTGCCAAACTCGGTGCATACTTTCCTCCCATATAACATTGGCTGTTGACCAAAACCTGTCATTCTGGCAATTGTCACGTGCGACTATTAACTAGCTACCTGTTCTTTGTCACATGGAATGCGCTGGGAACCAGCTCTCTGTGAAGCGGTTGAGGGAACTTTTAAATAACTCAGAGCAGAGCCAAAAAATGTTATGAATCCTGAAGCAAATACTTGTTGCAAGTGTTTGGAGATTTCAGTGTGTTTGGCCTCATACTTGGCCTTAGCACAAATATCTTGTAATCCAAATGGGGATTATTGGCCATTCTAAGATTTACGTGCCCCTCACCTTCCCGATTACTAATTCCTGATCTGTGGTTGTTTGTGGTCAGATTGTGCGGAGTAATCCTGTGGGTTATGTTTTTATATTTCAGGCTGGGATTGAGAACCGGCAACTAGACATGGTTGATTTCTTCCTGAAGAGCAAAGAGAGCCTGTTCTGTGTACCTACAGGATTTCTGGTACAGGATCATTTGGGAACCACAATGACTTCTCTGGCACAGTTAACAAGTAAGCAATGTGGGCCGGACTGTAACACTACATGTGAATGTACGGTAGGGTAACAAGCTTAGGACCAGAATCAAAAGAGCAAAGGGCATGGGCAGGAGAATATTGCAGCAATAGCCAGAGGCAAAATGGTGCAAGGACATGGAGCAGACTGGAGCTCGCTGAGCGGAGGGAGCGGACAGGTCTATATGGAGTTGGTAGGTCACAGAGGTAGGGAGGAGCAAGGCCATGGAGGACTTTGCTTCTTTTCTACACAGTTCAGAACAGGAATATTTTAAGTACAAAACAAGGGTTTAATAAAATTTTGCACAAACTCCACAGTATACGTTCTTCAGAGGGATTGCAAAGTAATAATCTCATCAAGACATTCGGCTGATTGTTGCGATTACTCATGAAATCACACTGCGATGTAATCACTCCTGGGTAATATTCATCAGGAGTTTAGCTTCTATAGAGAATCGGGGAGGGGAAGTCTGAAGTTTCTTGGCGTCAGCTGAATCTTGCTCGAGGAACGTTGATTTGTTAAGTGAGAGTTAGCAAAGTAATTAATTGCCTGGCGGAGGAGGGAGAATGGTTAAATGACAGCTGCTCCTACGGGTTCTCAACTAAGCTCCGCGCAAATCACTTCCAGCGGGGGTCACTGGACAGCATTCGAGGGCTGGTTATTTTTCTGAGACACCCAAGTGAGAAATTTGAGTGGTTGGCAGTTTAACCACCTAAAATTTTCAACAAGAACTGTGCACATCTCAGAATGTCAAACCTGCATGTAGGCAAGATGGCAGAGTGAAGCTACAGTTCTCTGACTTGTGTGATGCCTTTTCAGTGCTTTGGAACCCCTCTTCCCTGCTATTGGCACTCCTAAATATTCCCATTTAATAATCCTTTCACACTAAGATGTACTTTAATCACAGTTGTTTCTCTTCTCTCTTTTCTTCCCCGCCCGACACATCACAGATGTAGAAGAAATCACACCTGCTTTGGATCTGTTGTGTTCTGCGATCAGGGAAAACGATTCTGAAACTCAGAGCAAACAGTTTTCTGAACAGCTCCTGAATCTCACCTTGACGTTCCTCAACAAGCAAATGCAAGAGCTTCTAATGCAATCAGCAGGTGGGACTGGTGCTGTGGCCTGGACTTTGAAAATAGTTTTAGTAACACGGAGTGAGATTTTCACAGTTGTCATGAGCTTTTTTCAACTCGTTGTGGGGACACTGCTGTGCGCAGTTGGCTGCCGCATTTCGCCCACAAAATATACTTTAAAGTGAATTCACTGTATATTCTATGAAGCGCTTTGAGACGTCTCAGAGACATGTATATCAAATGCAAGGATAATTATATAGGTAGACGCCAAAAAAAATTACAGCCATCTGTTTTTCGATTGAGTGCTTCTTGCTCTGCTGTATTATGTGCAGTTTCTCATCTGTGAATAGATTGACCTCTGGTAAGTACAGCTCTTGTGTTGGCTGGTAGGAGATGTGAGCAATCAGTGATTGTAATGCTTCCTGCTTCCTCTTCCTTGGAGAAGCACATTTTACTTGAGAGTTTGTTTTGGGGAAATAATTTTCACCAAATACTTAGAATATTAATTTGTCTAAAAAAAACCCCACGGCTATGTCCTCAAACCTTAGAATGTTTAGGGTTTACTGTTAGCTTCATTCTCCTTGCTCTGTGACCTCCGTGACACTCAAAACAATGTTCTTTTTGTGTATACCTTTCCTTAACAAAATCTTGTTGCATTTGGCTCTAGAGTTGGATGAGTGCAAGCAGAAGTGTGTGGACTATCTGACTGGCTATATTACCGAGCTTCGTAAATTCATGAAAAAATATCCCAGGACTCCTCCGAATGAGAGTGTAACTGTTGATGACCTGGATGAAGAGGGAGCACTACCAGATGGCTATCGGGCTTTTGTGAAGTGGAAGAACCTGAGCACTGATGTAAGAACCTGACCCAGTGCTGCTTTGTTTAATCTGTAATCTGGGTTGAAATTGACATAAGGCATTTTCAATGGCTGGAACATTGAATCGTTCAATACCCAGGGCCCATTTCTTCTGTGGCCTGGCCAGCAATCCCCCAGATAGGAAAAAAAAGTCTTAATCATTTCAAGACTGTAGGATGTCACTGTGCACCATTTGGCTGTTGCATTCAGCTACAAATGCAGTCACTACACTTTACCGAAAAACTCTGTAGTTCTTGAAGTTTCAATGTGATAACAAGGACTTGCATTTATATAGCGCCCATCACACAGACTTGCGCTGAAAATAAATGACTATATCAAACACAAGGGTTATTATTGTTGTACCTCAACTACTGCAGGCCAAACAACCGTTAGAATAGGTGGGAAATCTATATCCTCGATTCATTGATTGGGAGTTTGAAACGTTTAGAATAAGAACTTGCTTTGGCCTGTGTGGGTGTATGACATTTTTGATTTGGTTCCGCGCTAAGCAGTACGTAAATTTTCACCCAAGGAACTTGAGCGATGACTGAAACGCAGATTAAGTCTTCAAAGCGAATCTTGGCATTCGGAGCTTGTATGACCACCATAAACTTGCTTCTTGTTTAGTTTCAACTCTTTCCGCTTAGAAGGAATGGTGCTCTTGCTTTTTCCAGGAAGTCATTCGCGATGCCATACTGAGCGATTGTATCCCGCAAGCTCAGGCCTACTTCAGAACACAGCAGAACCCTGCCAAGTCTCTCCAACAACTTGTGCAAGCAGGCTTGAATCTGACTTACAATTGCCTTTTAAGAAAAGACCTGAAAGAGGCTAGTGCACTTCTGAAGAACATGGTAAGCAATTTGCAAGATATTGCAAGAATTTACCAGACTTTCTATTTGTGGGACATGTCAATGCAAAGTGGAGGTGATTTAAACTTTGGATTGTTCACTGCAGGTTTGATTGAGGCTGTTATTGGCACTCTTTATGGAGCATTGGACATTTTTGCATTGGATTCCTCAAAAAGCTGGCACACGAAGGAATACACTATTGTTATTTGCCCATTTCTTACTTCAGTAACTACTTTACCATCAATTAAATATAGTTTGAACCCACCACTTGTTATAAGAATAATAATTTCTGTAACTGTATAGTTTTCAGCTGTTCTACCTGACAATCTCTCTAAAATGTTTCATTTTCTTTTGCCTCCTGTTCTCCACTTGAGAGTAAAATGTTTTGTTTCCGTTTATTTTGATTTGAAGGGTTTTGATGTGACAAAACAACTGCGCCATATTTGCTGCTACACGGCTGACAGAGATCTAAGAGACTTTCTGGTAAGAAATCTTCGTGTGCACTGTAGTTGGTGAGCAATGTCAATAGGGAGCGTGTGGTGGGTTAAATCGTAAGTTTTAAGTAATCCAGTTGCTGAGCCAGGTGCTGTTTGCTCAGCGTTTTTCCTGGGATTGTGGTGGGAATCACAGTTCAACTTGATTTTTCCATTCAGAAGGGCATTTTTCAGTAATTTGGACAGGATAGTGATCAGAAGTGGGTCTGAAACTGTATCTTTTAATTATGGCACAACTGAGTGAAGTGATGGAGGCTGTTTGGCCTTTTGTGTGTGGTGTGTGTGTGTGTGTCTGTGGGGTGAAGGTGTGTGTGGGGGCTGGGGAACCCTCTGAGACGAGTAGCCTTAAAAATATAATCTATGTTGCATTGCGTTGCTGACCCATTGTGGATCTCATCAAGTTGAAAATGACCTTCATGGAAAAAATCTTAGCTTATCCTGTGACTCCAATGCAGGGTATTAAACTGTGGAATTCTAATGGCTCCCAGTGATTGAAGTTAGGTTGTTAGAAAGGAAAGGAAGGAAGTCTTTTGAGGATGTAATTTGCCTTTATAGATGCCTGAATAATGGAAATATTTTGTAAAAGTGGAAATCTTTAAGAACATGAGTATTGCCTTTATAAATGTTTGAACAAGGAAAATTATTTAGTTTGTAGAAAGTCAAAGTGGTTTGTCAATAGCAGAAAGAGAATCAATGGAGTGAATGTTATCTGATTTCGGTACTTGGCAGTTTTTCAGTATAAATCACATACACATAATGAAGTATGTGGTTTACATTGATGCAGAAATGATTGATCCAAGGTTCTCCAATTGTATATTGACCAGTGAAATGCATGGCTTGTACGTAAAATATACAGTCAATTCGCTTTACGATATATTCTATGAAGCGCTTTGAGACGTCTCAACGGTGTGATAAGGCGCTATATCAAATGCAAGGATTATTATATTATAACTGTATTTCGGCTGATACTGTTTAAATTGCAGGCATGGTTTGCTAAAAGCCATTACGTTTTTATCTCCTAACTTTCTGCAAAGTGTCCACATCCCTGAAGCTCTCTTTTTCCTTGTGTTGCTCACTCCATTCTGTGCCCTGCAATCACTATCACGTCAGCGTCCATTTGATGGTAACTGCACATCGATCAATATTGCCTTGTATGGTGTTTTAGGATAACACGTTGAGCAGCTATGTCTCTTTTTAAACAGCCACTTTACGTTTGTGTACATCTTGCTTCCATTGGTCTGTTTATTACTCATACATTAATATTGCCAGCTGCTAAAACTCACAAAAGGTTATTTAGCAGGAAGGCTCTTTTCCCCCTAAGCTGCGCTCCCCTCCCTTTTCTCTTTCCACAGCAGAGGACAAAATCTGAGTAACATTGAACTCGCATTACTCTGGCATTGAGCCTTGGTTCTACAGAGTGCTGTGGCATTCTGCCATTCATTGAGCACTCATTTGAGTGGTGGGACACTGGTGTGCGCAATTGGCTGCCGCGGTCCGCCTACAGAATACAGAGTCATTACACTTTACAGTATATTCTGTGAAGCGCTTTGAGACGTTTCAACGAGGTGATAAGGCGTATCAAATGCATGAATTATTATATTCTTATTTGTCTTTTTTATAAGAAGAAGCCACTAATGGAGGGAAAGGGGGGATTGCCTTATCAAGCTTTATTTTAGTGGATTCAGGAACATTGTGCATATTTATCGATGCAGGCTTTGTGGTGTTCGGAGCAAGAGTTTACAGAACCACTTTGCAGCTGTATATTTTGGAAGGGGTCCAGTGGGGGAGGGGATGGGATGGGGGAATAAACTAAAGAGTACTTGCATGGATCTTTGTGGTCTATGAAACCCAGAATTTTTTAATTTAAAAAGTGTTTTGTGTTATGTGGATCTAAAAGAGAGTGCATTCACTAAAAGACCCGTGGTGTTAAGTAGGCAGGAGGAAGAATGAAACGCTGAAAATAATTATGATTTCATAATTATGAATCACAAATTGGAAACTTTCTGGCTGACGGATGTATGTTTTTAACTATTAATAAGAGTAAATTGCATGAAATATCATTATGTGGTCAATGAAATAGCTAGATTAAATTGCTTTGTTTTGTCTCTCGTTCTCTCCCCCCTTCCCCCTGGCCAATTCCTATTCTGAAATTAAAAACTTTGCCGCCTACATATTGTGCTGTAAGAATATGAGTTGAACAATTGAACTCTTTCTCTCGCATTGTTTCAAATGATTGGCTATGAATGTGAGTACATGTAACAAACCTTAACATGCTTGGAATAATATCTGCATCTATCAAAACCTCTCGTTAAATCTCACTAAAACTCATCTCAATCTTTACTTAAGTGCTTTTCTAATGACAGCCATATGTACCCATCTCGGAAGCGCTAATAGCCAGCTCCTCAATTTGCTTGTCAAACCTCTTTCTTTATAAAATTGTGTGCGTGTATATTTATTTCTGACAGATTATGACCTAGCCTCCATTATTAATACGCTTGAGAACTCCAGACCATATCTCTACTGACCTTTCTCTCCTTCTGGTGTGGAAGTGTCTGGTTTAATCTCAGTGGCGCTTTGTGAAGATGCTGCTAAGATTTGTCATTCGTTGTGGGGCGGGAGAGATCATGGATATGAACAAAAATCTAAGAATTATCTAGAATGCGTCACTGGGATACTTCATACCCTAGTGAAATGTGCTTGTGCGTTTCATTTTAAATCTATTTGTGGGCGCCAATAGCTCACACCACTCCACAGGTGTTAATTTGTTTTAATTTGTGTGACTGTTTTAGATTATAAATGTAAAGCGTCTTTTCTTTAAAGGCATCACAATTTAGTAATCCCGAACATCTGGCTCACACCAAGACTATATTGAAGTGTTCATTTCTCTTTCCAAGTGCGTGTGATCCTGCAGTGATTTAAATCTGTAACTTTTGGCAGCCTTAATAGAAGGCAATGTTTGAATTTTGCAAATGTGTTTTGGGTGTGAAGGTAAGCTGGTTATTCCTACTTTCCCTTTCCACTCCTCTCTTCCTACTCACCCACAAATTATGCAGTCAATTCACTCCATGGTATATTCTGTGAAGTGATTTGAGATGTCTCGAAGACGTGATAAGGCACCATTGGAAATGCGAGGATTGTTATTATTATTCCTTCCCCTTCCCCCCCCCCCCCACACACACACACACACAGACACACATGTAACATGTTGACACTACAGAGATGTTTTTCCGCTTGTTATCAGGTGGAAAGCCTTCAGAATCAGAACTGTTTTTCTGAACAAGAGAAGGAGATGGTGAAGTTTGTTCACTCTGCAGAAAAGCTCTACTCCTCTTCCGGAGACTCGATGGAATGTCCCTTGTGTATCAGGTAGCACCAAAGCACTACACAAACAATGGCACACAGTGAATTATAAATCAACGAACCAGTCAAACCACCCTGACTGTGTAATTTACTGCAAGAGCAGTTTCCCAACCATGGCAGACCCACAGGCTAAATTACTGCCTCAAGTTCCCCGACTTGTATGTGTTTTACGATGTAGTTCATTAGGTGTTTTTAAAACACAGTTAACTACGGTTACATTTTATAGTTTGTTGAGCAATTTTGTACATTAATTTCATAAAAAAGTTATGTTCACTTCAATCACTTGCAGCCACCTGATTTTAGCACTAATTTGCCTCATTCACAACTAATAGGCATGTGTTTCATTGAATCATGGATTCTCTCTCTCTCTCTATATATATATATATATTAAATATAGTTCCCTTCTCAACAATTAATACAACTCTTAGTTCCTTGTGCTTTTGCAGCTCACTGCAGCAGGTTGAAGATATCGATCCCAAATATAGTGGTATTCTGGAGCAAATTCTGAACTGTGAAATTGGGATGGGCGAGCAGCGTCAGAGCAGCAACACTGACCCCTGCGTGATACTGTTAGATTGGGCCAAGTGGTGGGATGAGGCCTCAAAGGAGAGAATCCAGTTATCCAGAGAGTCGAACACAGGTACGCTTGTGTTATAGCATCTGAAACACAGCATAATAAGTGCTCTGGGACTCTACCCATCGTGAGGGGCACTACATAAATGCAAATTGTGGTTGTTATAAGGTGGGGGTTGCCTTACTTCTGTAATTTTTGTTTTAATCATTTGTTTTGTTCTTCTTTTGTTGGAAATATGATTTTCTCCTCTGTATTTCTTCTCAGCGATGCACTCCTGCAGTCCTGAGGTATTGTGGAGCCACCTGACTTCTCGCCATTGCTGGTCCAAACTCTGTGCTTGGATCGAAACGCCCCAGAGCGCTGAGAGCCCTGAGAATTGGCCGCTTCTCACACAAGAGACTGTGAATCAGAACACACTCTGCAGTAGCTACATGAGGAACGAGATCCTGGACAAGTTGGCAAGGTACATCCTTCTAACATTACCAAGCCTAGCAACAAAAGCACAGCAGAATGTCCTCATTCATTCTGCTCTGTAAAATATTCAGTATGTTCAGGTAATGGAGAGATCAAGTTTATTGCACAATGCCTTCATTCTGGGGCACACACAGTGTCCCACAAAGGAAGGTTGATCCTTTCAATTATAGTTAGAGGTGGATGCCAAGAGATTCCTCTGACAAATCCAGAACGACGCCAATAACATTGGCCTTTTCTCCCCCATCCTTTGTCTAATAGGAAAGGTGTGTACATCCCATCAGAACTAGCAGACTTCAAACAGCTTCTGTTAAGGCTTGGCTGCACAGGGGGAATAATGCAGGAACCTCATCCTGTGCCAACCTACCAGTCATCCCAAGGACTCGACTTCCACAACTGTTTTGTCCTCTACTGCCTTGAGCATGGACTTCGCTATCTCTTGTACGCCTATTTGGATTATTACAGGTAAGTGGAATGCTCTCAAGATCAACATTGGTACTGAAATCGTCAAGCAGTGATGGCCAACCTTTTTGGTCGCCAACAAGATAAATTTTCTCGATTGACTATTTCTTGATTTATGGCATCAATTAAGAAAATAACCTGGAAACATATTACCAATCAAACACGGACTTATCTCGGCTAGTGTGAATATTCGGGGGGGTGAGGGGGGATGGGGGTCCAGGCTTCGGAGTCCTGTAGCTCAGTGCATAGAGCACTCGCCTTGCAAGCGAGACATCTGGTTTCAATTCCAGGCAGGCCAAAACCTTGGGCAAGTTTCCTTACTCCACACGCCTAATAAAAATCCCTCCAAAACAATAATAAATTGGTCATTTTCAATCCATGACTGTTGGTGGGACACTGCTGTGCGCAATTGGCTGCCGCGTTTCACCCACAAATATACGGTCAATTCACTTTACAGTATACTCTGTGAAGCGCTTTGAGACATCTAGAAGACGTGAAAAGCGCTATATCAACTGCAAGGATTATTATTATTATATTATTATTCTTGACGGCCCAGCAAGCTGTAGTTTGGCCAACTGACAGTAGTTTAGAGGTTAGTTGGCTTAATGTAGACTAAGGTCCAAAATGAAATGCTGATTTGTCTGTCTCCTGATGGATTGAACATTTATTAGAAAACTGGGAATGTCTATCATTCTGGCTCTCAGGTCTGGAAATTCATGCAGGATGTTTTGACTTTGAGGAAAACTCAAAGCAGTGACTTCAGAAAATAAATCCTTCCAACACATGGTAGGAATCTGATGGGAATTCTCCTCGTAAAATTTTAAAACCCTGCTGGTTTCTTAAAATAATCGTGAATGCAAAAAAAAAAGTTGGAACTTAAATGTGGTCAGAAAAGTTCTGCCTTGTCTGCGAGGTGTCTTGTGGTTTCTGTGTTGAGGGATTTCTGTGTTGATGAGGGATAAAAAGTTGAACTTGTATTCAGTTAGTTTCCACCCACTCCCAAAAAAGTGCCTGTGGTTGTAGGTACAACCATAATTTGTTACAGCACAGAATTAGGGCATTTAGACCATCAAGTCTGCACTAGTGTCATCCTCTCCCTAATATAATTTTATCCTCTGTGCTCAGTCCCCACTCCTTTTTATGATTTATGATCTCAGCAAAAATCATTGGTTTATGACAGAGAATTCCACGTTCCAACGAGCAAACCTTAAACTTTTTTTTGAAGACGCTGCAAATTTATTCTTCTCTTCAGTAACTATGCTGCTGTTTTGAGGCTTGCGGTTTCACTTTGTGCTGATGTTTGTACGGACGCATGTATTTTCGTGCCTGAGACTGGGTTTAACCACAACTTTTTACCTGTAGAGTCAGCAAGTTCTAGACATCTTTACTTTAGAACATCAATAAGGCAATGGCTCGGTCTGTGACCCCGTTTGCACCTTCTATTGTATCTTCGGGTCACACCTGAAGGTACACTGCCACTGTCGAGCGCTCTGGGGCACTTCCCTGTGTGTGAGGCGCTGTATAAATGCAAGTTGTTGTTATCAATGGGTACCAATGGTCTTAGTAGGCTGTCTCCTAAAGCAGTGAAAATGACTGTTAGCGAGCAATTGAAAACCTCTCACTACCCCTAAAAGAATTATTCTCTCCGATTAGGGCATTTGCCAAATGCAAGCGAACTACTGCATCTGGAGATGCTGTTTTAAATCTCTTGAGGGAATTGTTTCCCCGGCAGATCAAGGCCCCGCGCAATTATTGTCCCGAATAAAGAATTTTTCTTCTCTGCCAATTGAAGAAACTTTAATAAAAACAAAGTGGGAATCTGAATGCAATTATGCTGAGGTCTGTTTGACATTGCGGTGATACAATGGGAACCATTTGGGAACGCTGAAAGAAATCTCTCGTCTTCTTACTTGTAACACACGGGGAAGCAATAACGGGCAACGAAAAAAATAAATCTTTTGTTTGCTCAAAGGATTTTGAGGGCTGAGCTGCGGATTTGAATAATGACCTTAATTCCTAAATCATATGCACTAATCATCTCAAATGTAGAAATGACCGGTGATTAATGTGGGCTCACTTTGTTGGATAATTGACCGTATTGTTTGTCGCTGGAATCAGGTGTGATCAGTTCATGTTCAGCTGCAACTCAGGATAGAGAAGAGGCCACGTGTGTCGTTCTGTTGATACATACCAGTGGGCTGCGCCCGATTGATGGCACTGCAAATAGTGGGCTTGCCCTGCCGGCTGTTAACGAGCAACTGAAAATCGCTCACAACTCCTGAAAGAATTCTTCTCTTTACTGTTGTGCCTGCAATCTGTTTGCAGTCACTTGCCTGGCTTCCAGTTCGAGTGCAGAGACCTTTTGCTTTGTTTTTAAATACTAAGGCAATTTGGAACATATGTGGGACGCTGCTGTGCGCAATCGGCTGCCGCGTTTCGCCCACAAAACATAGTCAATTCCTTTTACCGTCTATTCTGTGAAGCGTTTTGACACGTCTCGAAGATGTGAACAGCACTATATTAAATGCAGGGATTATTATTATTATTTACTGTAACACATCTCCCTCTTGTGGATGATGTTATGCAATTCATGTGTTGGATTAGATAAGAGGCCATAGCATTTTCTTAACAACTGTAGCTTTTCCCTCCACGTCTTTTTCAGGTGGTAAGAGATGTACCAAGCCTGAGATCTTTGCCTGACTTATGTCTGTTGTTGGAGTTCAGGTTTCTAGACCTTGGAGGTTTCTAGCAGCCAAGATTTAAACCAACTTAAATTGCCTACAAGAAACCTGTTTTCCTTTTGCTGGCTTTTCCAAGTGGTGTTACTCTCCCCAGCTAAGTCCAGGATACGAGAAGCATTAATTGGGTGTAGGGACATAAGGTAGAAAAATCCCAACGTGTTTATGTGAAGAGGTGTAGGTGTTCATTGAGGTACTTGTAATCAGGATATGGTGCTTATCTCAGGGCTTGATCATGTATGTTAGTCATCCAGTCGGGCACATCTAGACTGTGATTTTCCCCGCATGGATCAATTTAATTCTACTCTGTCTCACTCCAAATACTCTTTATATTCCTTCTTTAACCATGAATATAATTCCTTTCTAAAAATGAGATGGGTTCTGATTCAACTACAGTTTATGGCAGAGAATTCCACATTACAACCAAATACTGAAGTTAATTTATGAGTGTGTGAGTGTATGTCTGTGTGTGTGTGTGAGAGTGTGTGTGTGTGGTTGTGTTCTGAAGTCTTTGCTTTGGGTCATTGACAGGTTGAATCCCTCGAATTGCCAGATCCTGGCTGATGGAGCTCTCCACGTGGGTCATCCCTGGTTTGAATTCCTAGTAAGAATACGAGAGGTTTCCAACAGTAGTGCAGGTGAAGATCTTTATTTATTTCCAACTCGCAGTAGTATATGTATTTAATTAAATTGTATGGGAGTTAAGCCCGGCTCATAGCACACCTGTGTGTTTGTGAATATGAACAATAAATGGACCTGAACACAGTGGAGTATCGGGGTTTGAGGAATGTGCCTGGGGCAAAAGTGATGAATTAACTAATGCATCAGTGTTCTGCTGGGGGTGCTTCAGTGAGCTTATCATCTCCACAGGGTGCGTTCATTCCACTTTCTCTAATGCTGTCAGGCACCGTAACCCACCTGCTTCCAGATACTTTCCACAACGTCACCAGTACTGATAGTTTATGGAGAAGAAATGATCGGAGAGAGCATTTCCTGTTCCAAACACACCTTGCAGCTATAAGATTTTTTTTGTGTGTAGAAATCTAGTTTACTTGTAGAAAAATCTTTACCGTATCTGCCTATTTCCCTTTCCATTTTAAACACACAATGTCAGTTGAAACAACTTTTGCCCCTTCTGTTTCTGAAAACATTTTTTTTTAAACAAATAATCAAATTAACACGTTATACAAAAAAATGCTGCAAGAGCTAAGCACTCTTATTTCAGAGCTGCAGAATGGATTATTAAGAACATGTGTGCTTCTCTGTGCACACTGTGTGTGTACAACAGTTGGTTTTGTGATTTACTAAAAAGCCTAGGAGGTGGGATATCCTTTCAGTAATTTGAACTCAACATCTTTAAAGTTGGGCATTCACACACACTGCAGACTTGCTGCTCAAGATAGGAGCGGTTTCACAGAGTCCCTTTCAAATAGAATCATTTTAGCACAATGTAAAAAAGGATCTGTGTGTGTGTGTTCTTTCTAAAACAAAACCAGCAACAGTGGATTTGCATTGTCATTCAAGCCTGATGCTGAAATGACACCATTTATAATGTTGCAGATCAAATAGAATATTGATGATGTTAATGACAGAATTATTGCTATTAATTTTTTTAAAAAACACTATGGTAGTTTATGTCCCACCTACGTACAACATTACAGTTACTAAACTTTACTATAAATCCTGTAAAACACTTTAAGCCGTCCTCCTGATGCGAAAGGCACGTTATCAGATGTTTTATTCTAGTTAGGTGACACTTGCTAGATTGAATTTGGGTTTTAATGTCCTCCTGAAGGGATGGCTTGGAGTGTTTGTTGGGAGATTTTTTATTGTGTAGACTGTGATAAGAAGAAATGGGTTTTGTTCATTTTCAACATTGTCTCAACGTGATGTTTTGATACCCTCTCCCTGTTCCCTGGTCCATATTTCACTGTAGGTAGAACAATTGCTTTTCTGTTATTTCAGCTACCCCTGTGACATTCCAGGCAAGTCTGGCTAATGCCCAAATGCTGATCCCCAGTAACCAGGCGAGTGTCAGCAGTATGCTGCTGGAGGGACACACACTGCTGGCACTCGCCACCATCATGTTTGCTCCTGGGGGAATCGATCAGGTAAGTTGGAGTATAATCCAAGGCCTTTGTCTTAATATTTAACATTGTGCAGTATTTTTGAAATTTCTTAATTAGGCAGCCAATTACCCACAATATCTTGACAAGAATCGAGGAAACCTGACTTCAATTTTAAGACTGCATTTAGGAATTTACCAAAATTCCCGTATTTTAACTTCAACCAACATTCCTAAGGCTAATACTATAATAATAATAATAATAATCCTTGTATTTGATACAGTGTCTTATCACGTTGTTGAGACTTCTCAAATATAAGAGTTTTGGGGGCCTCTGGAGTCCTATTTACTGCCTATAAACTGCAATGGGAAATTTGGTCTAATAAAGGATAATTCTTGCAGTTTTTCCATCCTTTATTTGCTATAATTGTATGCTTTCAACGCTGAATGTTTCTTCTGCTAGTTCAGTAATGGGACTATTATATGTACAAGAATGGATTCATTTTCGCTGCTATTATAATGCAAATGATAGAAAATTTTAGTAATCTCACGCAATTTGCTGTGTTCTCTGTAGTTTTACTCTTTTTCCGCACGCTATTACTTTGACATGTGAATGCTGGTGGAAACGTCCGTCACAGGAACAGGCTGTGGGACAGTGCGGATATCAAGTTGTTTGTCTTTAGGCCTCTCTGTGCCATTCCCCATCTGTGACCTACTGCCTGGTCTGAATGGGGCTCTTGAGCCGCTGATAGGAAGTGCATGGAATCAGCCCCAGGCGACATGCCTGCAGATTTTGCCTTTAATTTCTCCCCTCTTACAATCAGGCACCATTTGGGATCTGTTTCCGCTCTCTTCTCTCTCCTCTCCCCCACGCCCCCCCTTTCTCACAACCAAGAAATATAACTTCAAGGCTCTTAATTTATACACTATGTAGCGCTCCTCCCTGAAACGTGAGGCTTTGTTAATTTGACAAAAAGAAATTATAAGATTTTTGCGGTAAAAGCCTCTTAAAACAGATCTCTGGCAAGCGAAGTCCCATGTATCAATGTATTTGCTAAATGTCAAAATTTGTTTGGTTGCTTTCCCATTCCACTTTTGCAGTAATTTGCGAGTTGTGTAACTCATGTGTAAAGAGGGCATTATCGAATGCTAAAGCATTATTGGATTCCCCGGGCGTGCCTTATATTGATAGTTACAGCATTAAGAGCACCTGTAATTTCATCAGTCCGTTTGGTTTACACAACTCGCAAATTCCACCTCAGTTCATGTTTTAAATAGGTTGCAACTGATCTCAATTGGCTGCAAAAGTGTGCTGTAAGCTCCAAAAGTATAAAACAATTTACTCATCTCTTAGCAAGGCTGACTATGTTCAATTTGTATATTATGTGCTAGCAAATGGTGTGAATTTTAATATGTGCTCGCGGTGGTTTCTTTAGGTTATACAGGAGAGAGAAGACGTTGGCAATTCCCTTTGGAAAGTTGACCCTCAGCTGCTGAAAATGGCATTGGCTCCTTACCCAAAGCTGCGGGCTGCTCTCTTTCCCCAACACACCCCTCACGGTATTCCACCACCTGACGTGTCCCTCTATCATCTTTTACAGGTATTTAAAACTATTCAGTAAGGGTACATTAAACTTAGAGGCTAAGTTGCAGGTGGGGAAAGAGCTGCCCTCTGCTCCCCTCACCCAATCTGTGCTGGTTGACGACGTGAGGTAGTTGAGCGTGCAGACATCTGCACATCCTCTCTGAGCACACCAGGTGGTGTGCCCCGGGGCTCCAGCCAGACCCTGCCACCCCGCTGACCCCGAGCTGAGTTGCCCCCGGATGAACTGAACAATTTGCGGTAAACTATAATGAGGAAAGTGAACCTGGATGTGAACTCTAATTTCATCGTTTGGATTCCACGGTTTCCCCAGTTGCCTCCTCGGCCACTTCTCACAATAACAGTCAATGAAGCTTGATCTTGAGACCTTGCAAGTAGCATTCTCCTGTACGAAGGCAATGGAAGATGTTCGTTGCTAGCTCAGCCCCAGGATAGCCCTCGGCTCTTGTTAACTGCCTTAAAAGAACTGTCCAGCTGTAAATTGCAAGACTTTGAAACTCTGCAAGTGTCATTCAATAGCAATCAATTACACTCGCTCTCTTAAGTATCTGCTAACAGTCTACCGAGGAGAAATTCCAGCTAGTTATACCTGATCTTAATGAAGTGCGATGAGGACAGATGTAGCCATTGGAGGTGATCTCTTTACATTATCAAGTTCAGACCCTTTTAATTTACTGCGATACCAGATGAGACCCAAGAAATATTTTAATCTTAAAATGCTCGCCAGTGGAGGCGTTATTTCACGCCTATGTTTTTTTAATCCAAGTGAAATCATCAGAAAGATGAATGTAATGTCTTCTTTTCCTACCTAACATGTTTTCATCAATTGCGGTGTAAGTGATTTTTATTTTAAACCATCACTGGGTCTGACGGTGTGATATTATTCAGTTTTTAAATTGACTGGCTCAAGGGGAACTGAATGGAGTGTCACTCGATGAATAATGCAGCTGCCTTTATTGTATATCACAGTGTGTGCAGGCCTGATAATAACTGGGATTATTCCTGCGATTCTTGACATTACAGTCTGCTGGTTGTAATGTATTTGCTATGCCCAGTCACACACAGAGAACGTACCTGTTTTAATAATAATAATAATAATAATGCACACTGGCTTTAGGTTAAAGCAAATGAATGTTAATGCTTAAGTTCTATACTCTAAAGTGACGTTGATGCTTGCCACATACATACTGAGGGCTCCTTCAGGAAATTGTTTCAGTTGAAACAATACATCTTTCTGATGATTGACATGCTTTTTGTTTCTCATTATTTAGTCTCAATTCATTCTGAAACCTCCACATACAAATTGCACTGTATACTGAATAACTGAATAATGTATGTGTACCAGGCGGTCATCTCGTTCAATGTACTTACCACTCTGATTCATTTGAGTTTTTTTNGTCATTTTATTTATAATAATCCTTGCATTTGATTATTGCGACTTACTATGGTGTTGAGATGTCTCAGAGCGCTTCATTTCGAATCTATTGTAAAGGGAATTGCCTCTATACTTTGTTGGTGAATCGCAGTATTTTGCAGTAACCTATTGACGCTTTCTTGTTTAATTTGCAGTCACTCCACCCCTTTGATCCACAGCATCTCTTCGGCTGGCAGTCTTCCAACACGCTCTCTGCTTATGGTAAGTTTATCATTATGATTTTTATTTCACAACAAGTAGAGAATCGTAGAATTTTGCAGCACAGAAGGAGACCAGCTGGCCAATTGTGCCAGAGCCAGCTCCCTGAAATAGCGATCCATTTAGCTTCACTGACCCTAAGATGTCAGCCTGGCTCAGCTGGTAGCACACATGAGTTGAAAGGTTGTGGGTTCAAGTTCTCTGGTACATTTAAGCTCCTGGTCTAGACTGACCTTGGAATACAATGCATGGGAGCCTGCATTGTAAAAGGTCCTTCAGATGAAAGAAAAAGGTCTGATTTACTTCTCTGGTTCTGTACATTCTTTTATCCCTATGTACTGTTGAGCACAGCCAACATATCAATTGGCTTGTGGGATTGTAAAGCAAAAATCAATGTCCATTAACTGATGTACTGAAGGTAATAGTTGCTTTCTGAATGAGTATTTGAGAAAGCTGACAGCAGTGCATTTGATTCTCCAGCCTACAATATTAACCCTGTCCGCCGGTCCATTTAATTGTTGAAAAGGATATGTATAGGGCGTGTTTAGCACATGGAAAGTCTTGTTGATGCTTTCAGTTTCTGTAGACGTGTACTTCACTTCCAGTTAAAGCTCTACAGAAGCTTTTGTTTGTAAGCTGAGAGCAATGTGTTCTCAAGGTCTTCAGATATAGCAACCTGCACTTGTACAGCACTTTTCACGTCAGATAAGCATCTCAAAGCTCTTCACAGAGATTATAGCGAGCATTCCATTTTAGGCTGGAGATTCAGGTGAAGTGTTGTCAGTTTTTAGTTTTCTCAAATATTTATTCAATTACCGCCTTCAATTACCTGCTGCTTCATCCATTGAAGGTCGGATTTCCAGTTCAAATCAACAGTGAAATTGTGTCAGGCATTCCTGATGTCTGGATTCTGCTTCGGGTGCCATGAATCCATGAAAGATTTGTCTACAAATCTCTTCACGCTCTGGCAACTCCCAACCTCTCTGACCTGCTTTCTCCTCACTCATCTACCCGTTGCCTCCGCTCGGCTGGCTCTGGCTTCCTGCTTGTCCCTCCACTCCATCATCGGTGGCCGCCCTTTCAGCCACTTCACCCCGAAGCTTTGGAACTCTCTACCACAAAACCTCCACTTTGCCCCCTCTCTTACCCTCTTTTAGGTCACGACTGAATACCTTCCTCTTTGACCATGCTTACGTTCACCTCCTCCCTACCGCTCGGCGTCAGACTCTGACACTGCCCTGCGTGAAGGGGTGCTATATAAGTGCAAGTTGTTTTTGAAAGAAAGGGAAAAGAGAAGGCCTTTATAGTTCACACACCAGTAAGAAAAGTAAATTTCCTTTTGGGATGACTGGAAGTACGAACTATCATGTATAGGAAATTGGAAAGTAAGACCTTTTGGATAACAAACCTGTTTCTCTTTGGGCAGACTCAAGCGACTTGCCTCATTTCTCGTGCCCTGATCTGGTGAACAAATACGCCATAACCGAAAGGCTGGATTTTCCATACTACCTGCACCACGGACGGCCGTCATTTGCGTTTGCAACATTTCTGGTTCAGCAGCTGGCAAAGAGCAGTTCACCAAAGCAGCTGTAAGCATACCGGCGGAGGGTTATCAGTTAGACTGTGCGACGGGCTGCCATAGCTGTTTATACATCTTAAACTGAGAAGTGGTGTTGGAGCGTTAATCCAGCATCGAGAATGTTAAGGCAGATTTATCAAAGAGCCTTTTATTATCGGTGTGGTACGTTTATAGTCATCCTTGGGTGAGAAGAAAATAAAGCATTTGGTAGTGGTTTGCTTGTTCACATCTTTATCTCACTTTATAACCTGGACAGTGCCTCAATAGTAAGTCTGATGTGCTACTACTCACTGAGGATGTGTTCCTTTTCTCTTCCTGCAAACAACTTGCAGCCCTAAGATTTAGCAGTCATTAACTTTCTGTAAGGCAGAATGCACATCAAGCTTTAGGGTGATGAATGAGAGTGATTTGGGTTTGTCACCCAATTGAAAGGCTGTCTCTCACTTTGTTTTCTTTCCCCTTTGTTTCTCGTTTTCAAATCGAAACACAATTTCTGATCACAACTGAACTGGTCCAAAATGACACGAGCGTGGGCTGCAGTTTTAAATTATTTTAACCAGTTTTGATTGTCTGTAGCAGACGAGTTAACAACTAAGTGTGATGTGTGCTATGGAAGTTTACGTTTAATTTGCAGTTTCTCATAATCTTCAGATACCTTATCATTCCGCACCAAGAAACTCTCCACATATACCCCATTAATTTCCTGAACGATTTATTTTCTAAGAAAAGCTTGGAAAGATCTTTCTATTGTCTTCCACCCTCCCCCCCCCCCCCGTATTATTTTGTGTGGGAAGGGGAGAGGGGAGTTTTTTGCCAGGCCAGATATTTTCAAGTCAGTACATTTTCAAATCATTCATTCCCTTTCTAATCAGGGTAAGATAATGTGAAAGGTTCTGCCTTTAAAACTCGAAAGGTCTGTATCAAATGTTGCAGGTTCAATACAATGAACAGCGATCTGTTTTGTGGTTCCGGCTCTCTGGGTGTAATTGCTTTGCTGTGAATGTTCCCTTTTGAGTTGTGTCTGTTCCACCTTTCCCACATTTAGGATTCAGCAGGTGAGCAGTGAGGTGTACACCCTAGGACTTGCCCACTTTGCTGTGGCTCCTGTAGCGGCAGCCTGCGTTGCCTTCCTCGAACTCCTGGGTGTGACCAGCCTTAAACTCAGGGTCGATCTCAAAGTTGCAGCTACAATATTGAAGCACTGGTACATAAAGACAGAAGAGTCTCAACACAGCTCAATACAGGAGACCTTGGGTAACTTGCCCTTTGTTTTTATTAGGAAATAATGTTAAAGATTGCGGAAAGAGTCCTGGTTGAAAAAAGTTGGGTTGTTGAAGAATTGAGACAGAATCTTACACCAATAAATTGTTCCTTCTAGTGATCGGGATAGTATACCAAATTGTGCGTTGTGCTAATACACTGGCAATAAGTTCAAGGCGAATAATTAATTTCAGTTTGATGGAAGACAATGAATAGAGTTTTAAATGTTTGTGTTCAAGAACAGAGGACAAAGCACTAATAGGACAGACTGCACTTGTCAGCTTTCATTTTGTCTTTCCAATGGGTTTGAGTTTCTATTTACATTTCTGTAACAAACTATTTTTGTGCCCTCCAGTCGTTGCGACTAAAGCCTGTTTAACATTGTTTGATGATGTAACGTTTGATTCCACTCTCTGTTCTTTGCAGCTGAAAAGCTTCAGAGTTTGGTAGAATGTGATAAATCATCAGCACAGGAGCTGTTGAGTCAATTAGAAAACGCTACTTGGGAAAACCTACAAACCAGAAACATAAAGAGGTACCAGAGCTGGGCTACGTGCAATAAGTACTTTATCTCTTCTCATTACGACAAGATGCTTCAGCGGTAACATTGATCTTCTCTGACCACAGGGTCTCTTTCGAAGCTGGGCAGGAGTGGTCACTGATAACCCAGTTCTGCAGACTTCACAGTATTGCCCTGAGCATTGCCTATCTCCGGGAATGTGCTCAGCAGGATGCGTGGCTGGAGTTTGTGGTCTTCGCTCAGCTTCATAATTATCAACCGGATGAGGTGAGGATGACTGGGTATCTCATTTCCTGACTCCGTGAACGTATCCAGGGCAAGGCAGGCAGACAGACAGCTTGCTGCCAGGCATCTGGCACTGATGCTTTGCAGCCAATTATTGAAAGGTACGAGCAAACTGTCTGGAATTGCTTGACCTCTTTCACTCCCATCCTCCCTGCCCCTGTCGTTAAAATGTTTCCTGGTGTCTTCTAATGAACAAGCCCTCTGAGCCTTGCCTCCACACTCTTTCCCCATCTTCAGGTCACGCCTAAAGATCTTTCTCTTTCACTGTGCCTGCGGTCACCTCCTCCCAGCTCAGTGTCGTGTATACGCCACTGTCAAGCGCTCTGAGGCACTACCCTGCGTGATGGGTGCTGTGTAAATGCAAGTTGTTGTAGTAGTCGTTGCAGTAGTCACTTACAGAGCCAATCTCTATCAGCCCCTCTTTGAAAAGTTAATCAAGTTGGAAACCTATTATTTCTGGGCTGAGTACTTTGGTTTCAGCCATCAGTGCAGATCCTATTGAAATATCCAGCTGAGACAAAGCTGAATTAACTTGCACCCATTCCGAAATGACAAATCGTTCAAGGATCCTGGGGTAATTATCGGACTCTATTATTCCGCTCCCTCGGTGCTCGGTGTGTATAAAAATCTTAATCCACTGGGGGCGGGGTGGAGGGTAAAATGATGGTTAGTCCAGAGAGAAAGTTTTGTGATGCTAAGTGGCAAGTCACTGCTTGTTCACTACTGTGTGGCTAATAGTACTTGACTGGGGTTTTGTCAGATTTTATAAATGTATTATCTGGTGGGTTGTAGGAGTTTGCATCCAACGGTAATATCTGTAAATATTGAATATGTCAAAATTCCTTTGATATTTTTTTCTCCCAAATGTAAATGATTTTCTGTCACTAGTCTGTGGGTGGTTTCTGCCAATGATCCTATGGGGAAAGGTCTAGTCTAACCATTTGTATGCATTGATTTCCCGCTCCAATCCCTCAATTATGTTCTTGTGATCGCAGCAGGCTCCCTCTCTTGACAAGTCGCGTTCTGCCTTATCGTTGTATCTGCAAATATTAGTTCAGTTGTGAATTGTATTCTTTCGAATCGTCCTGCGATTCCAAAGGAAGAAGCTTTCTTTTCTTTATCTCTCGCCTCCCTGTAGTGCTTTAAATTTTAAAATTGCTCGTCAGAGGGATGCAAGCAATTCATGTCAAATTTATCTTTATGGTGATGCGAAGTTCCCCCGCTGTCGGCTCGCTTTACAATAATAAAATAACAATTAAATTCTGGTTCTGAATTACAACCCTGGCTCTTTGTTCCGCAGTAATTATTATTTCAAAAGGCGTTTTAATCATTTGTGTGGTGTTGGTCTTTCTACTGCCGTTTGGACCCGAACCTCATGAGATGTTAGGAAATACTCAATTTACACTGGTTTCATCAACCCCCGGATTCCAGTTCTTAATGAGAAACTGGAATTGCTTCACTTTGCAGGTTTTTTTTTAAAAAAATATTTAATTCTGTCCGGGGCTGAGAGTTAATCTTTTGCAGCTAAGGGCTTCCATTGATTGTGAATTATTTATTTCTGGGATTTTTGCTGGATTACTTTTAAGTTTTACTTGGTTACTCTAGTATCTGATATACCCTTTCAAGTCCTCTCTGTCTCGAGGCTATTAGAGTCCTGACTTATCTAGCTGTTCTTCTGTGGGGGGTGGCGGGGGGAGAGAAACTTCATGGGGGCGGGGGGGTTCTCATACATCCACACATTCTTGTGTTGTTTCTAAGTTCTCTATTAGGACTAGGAACATAGGAACAGGAGTAGGCTATTCAGCCCCTCGAGCCTATTCCGCCATTCTACAAGATCATGGCTGATCTGTACCTCAGTTACCCGCTCTTGCCCCATATCCCCTGATACCCTGACCTAACAGAAATCTATCCACCTCAATCTTGGGGAGAATTCTTGTTCGGATTTTGTTTTTCCTGGTGAAATCCCTGTTTTATCATTATGTTATTCTAGTCAACACATCTGTGTTTTAGGTGCTGGCCCTACTCAGAGACTTCAGCCCCACTCTACAGGATCACCTGACACTGGCGTTCGAGACTCTGCAGTTTGTGCCATTGGAGGGATCCGTTAGCTCTGAGACACTGGGCACACCCAAGAGCGAACTCAACAAGAAGAAGAAGAGGGAGGAATCTCCAGTGGATCTTTACCAGGTGCTCTACTGGTGCCAGGAGAAGCCAAACCCTTGGCGGTATCTTTTGACCGAGGCAGTGCGGCACCATGCGCCTGTGTTGAGTATCCTGGCCGCGTGTTTTAAGGTGGGGAACTTTCAAAGCCTGTTAAATGCATATCCCATTGAACCCAGCAAGCACGTTGTTTGAATTTTAACACATCTCTGATAAAAAGCCAGGCATTTCCACGCAATGGTTGCAATAGATGCCATCCAAGGATAAATGTCATTCAGCACACAATTCCAGGTCACACGTTGACTCTGGGATACATACTGTCCAAAGCTGACAATCGGTTGATTGTCATCTATCTGTAAGGACCCAAAGAATTGGAGGATTGTGTTAAATATTTAGCCACTGTATTGACTGATATTGTCAGTTTCTTCAGAGATTTTGGGGAATTTCAGAAAAATCTGTTACTTGTATTCTCGTAGCACTGTACAGTTGATGTGTTCTGTAAGTTGGGTTTGTTTCTTTGGCTCATATATAGTGCTTGATCATATCAGCATTGATTGATGTTTGCTACTGGGGCAACGATCCTTTGTGGGTCTGTCTATCTTTTCCTTTTAATGATGAGTTGACACAAGTGGCCAAGTAATGTCAACCAGCCCTGACCACATCTAAATGTCCAGATTAGAGAGAGGTGAAGCCGTGTTGAATATTGAATTTCTTGGTCTGTGCGCCAGGGCACCTTGTTTTATATTCAACCAAGTGCGTTTCACACAGTAATGTACAGCTCCTTCGGGAACAGAAGAGTCTTCTGAGGTTTCCCTTTGATAATCTCGTAAGAATCCAATGGGATCATCTTTCTTGGTTCCCTAATAAGATGGGCCTGATTGGCAGGGCTGTAGGAATACTTTTCACACTGTGTGTGCATTTGTGTTGCTATTTTTATTCCCCCCTTCTCTTCTCCCCGCCAACCCCCCAGGTTAAGGTATAGATTACAAAGGCAACATAGGGGAATTTACAATGCTTATGATTTGTGCTGTACAGCCATAAAATACCTCTCTCACTGCATACAGTTTTCTCCAATTCCTTTCTTCCACCCCCCCACCCCCCACCACCATTAATTTGGATGGAAAAGAGCTGAAGCCCGCTGTTAAATGATAATGTTATTCAGGGTACATTGTAAGATTTTTAATTGAATTGTATTTTGGATCAGCACCATCCATCAACCCGTGATTAAATTCCAGCTTTGGTTCCTTATTCACAGAACCTTTAATCTTCAAGCACATCTTCAAAGAATGCTCCAGAAATTATCATTTTTTTAAAAAAATGCCAACTTAATAATAATAATCCTTGCATTTGATACAGCGCTTTTCACGTCTTCTAGACATCCCAAAGCGCTTCACAGAATATCCTGTAAAGTGAATTGACTGTATATTTGTGAGCGAACGCGGCAGCCAATTTAAATCTTAAATCTTCAAACTTAAATCTTTTCCTTTTGTCAGAATTTTAGCATTTTCAGAGGATTGTAAAATTGCCGTATTGTGTAGTGCAATAACCTGAGCTGGTTCACTTTTATTCCCTCCACATACAATACCTCCTTCCTTTGTCTTCGTAATGTCACATAACTGCTTTGTACTACAGTATTTATTCCTTCCACAGCACGCAGAGATTCTTCAGTGCCTTTGTGTTTGGGTTATTATGTCCTCGGATGAGACGACCTACTCTGAAGCTACAAAGCACATTGATGATTCGGTGGAACATCATGAATGGGGCCTCCACGACCTGGCAGTAATGTGGAAAGTGTTGCTGGGAAGGCGGAAGAGCAAACAACTCATCTGGGGCTTTCAGCTGTTTCAGAAGGTAACGGAATATTTCTATAGTCCCTGTTTTTTTCCACTTTTTTTTGCCAAATACAAGAACAAAGTGGAGCAATATGGGATCAATCGCTAGTGCTCTGTCACTGGATCCAGTGTTTAAAATCCATTCACTGAAAAGTACGGCGCTTAAATTAATTAATATGATTCCAGAGTTGAAGCAGATTCCTGGCAATGTCAAGGATTCGAGGTTTTCTGATGAGATAGGGGTCAAATAAATGGTTCAGGAATTTGGATGGGTGGCTAGATGGATCAATGGTCTGTCTACTGTTTGAAACTTACTATTTTATAATAATAATAATCCTTGCATTTGATACAGCGCCTTATCCCGTCTTCGAGACGTTTCAAAGCGCTTCACAGAATATACTGTAAAGTAAATTGACTGTATATTTTGTGGGCAAAATGCACAGCAAACAGTTACTGTGACCAAATTATTATTTTTTTAAATTGTAGTATTAATATATATTATTTGATTATAACTAGGTCACCTGCTCTTTATGCTCACTCTTTTAAAGGACTGTCCTTGGGTCTATATGTTGGAGATGTACAAATTGTGCACTGAAGACAAAAACTATCAAGAAGCAAAGTTGAAACTTCAAGAATTCCAGAAATGTCTTCAATCAGTGAGTGTCTGTGTCTCCTTGTCTGTGGAAGTTGGTTGTGATTGCTTACAGTGTTTCAGGAGTACTTAGTGGAGAAAGTGCAACCGGCTGCTTCTGTTCACAGGCAATAAGTAGGCGATGAAAAATCATTTGGCAGAACAGAGTAGACATCTTTCCCACACACAGGAGTCTCAGTAAACATGTGTTGAGCTGTCACTGTCCTGGTTTTGACTGTTAAACCATATAGACAAAAGAGGAAAGGCTGACAGTAAAACCTTAGCCACTTTACATCATGTGCGTTCACTTTGGTGTGTTCTGATCCAACGATCTAGCTGACCTCAAATCGTTGATCTAGAAACTTGACCAAAGAGGATATAGTGTAAGGATATGTGTTTCCAAAAATGTAGTCTAAAGTGACGATGGGTTACAGTGGTTTTGGAGAGACGGACTGGATGGACAAACTGAGCTACAGGATTTCAGTCCAGCTCTCAAAGGTGAAGTGGTCCCTAAACGTTGCCTGTGTGAATTTGTACACAGTGCACACCGTTCCATAATATTACTCGTAGCATTTTAATGTGCTGAAAATTTATGTGAACTATTGATTCTTCATTTATTTGTTATGTGTGTGTGTGTGTGTGTATATATGTGACTGTTGAAAGCTTATTCTGAGCTTTAATAACAGTTTAAAAAGTCCTCTGGTCTTGCAAGAAATATAGATAGTTACAAGACGTAAATTTGGGTTGGCGTCAGTTAGCTCATTTATCAGCCAAACCTCTTGAGGAAGATATTGCATCCCAAAGATCTGTTAATTAGAGCGGGTTACACTTGTACTGTCGGGGAGAACGAGTGATTCAATGCTGTCTCCCTTCAAATTAAATATTGCTGTGTTACAAACTGGATTTCTGCTCTGCCCAGCAGCACGAATGAGAACCCTTGACATAGCATCTGGTCTTTGGATAAACTAGTGAGTCTTATTTTTTTTAAAAAAGTATTAAATTAGGTGGTGGCCTCTTTAAGATTAGTATATTTAAACCGCGGGCCCTATAGAAAGATTCCAAGGAGTTCTTTTAAATCTTCAGCAGATGCTTGGCTTGGCTGAGCTCCAGATTCTCGCGACTGCCAATCACTCACTCCCCAGCTGAACACCATGTGTGATGGCTTGTGATCTCTGGCTCTGGCTGCTCTCCAGGCATGACATTTTTAGAAGCAGCACATGTTAACCAAACAGAGTGGGAATGACTCGAGGAGCCAGCTAAATGGCTATATCAAGTGACGTCCCATTACAAGAGCAACATTCTTGTCAGCGTGACATTCCCGTTTGAGGTTCGGGTTATTTTACGGCTGGTTGGCATTCATGAAGCACTTGGAATTGTTTCTAATATGTGGAGAACAATGCAGGTTTATAATCAACAATAATAATAATCCTTGCATATGATGCAGCACCTTTCACGTTGGGACGATGTCTCAAAGCGCGTCAAAGGATTTGCTGTAAAGTATAAGTGGCTGTCTTTTGTAGGCAAACACAGGAGCCAATTTATTCACAGCAACATCTCAGAACCAGCCATTAGAAAATGGCATGAAAGGTGTTTCAGGCAGCATTATGTTTACAGAAAAGCAATCTTTTGGCTGGATGCCAGATTTGAGATACATCCGCGGGCCGCATCGGCAATATTTTTGTGTTCCCCTTCCCATAAAAAAATCACTTAGAAATCCTATGTTTTAAATTGTGTAACTGTGTCGCTTGGATATATTTTAGTTACAACAGAAACTATAAATGGGCAATGTAAAAATTCATACAATTTTCAAAACAGTAATACAACTAGCGATGAGGTATCTGTCTCTGTGTCTCCCTCTGCCTATCTGAATGGGTGTCTCTGTATCTCTCTCTTTATCTGTGTGTGTGTGTGTTTCTGTATCTCTCTCACTGCCTCTCTATCTGTGTGTGTGTCTCTGTATCTTTCTCTGCCTCTCTCCTGTTATCAGATTGAAAGTGATTGACAGGTTCTGCTAACCCCCGCTTCACACCGCTGGTTTTCCATCCAGAATCATTGAATATAGTTGCAGTTTAGTCAGCATCAAAATTGTTAATTGAAACAGAAAGGGGTTGGAAGATTATCTGTGAGAGTTTGCTCCTCACATTAACATTTCACTGTAATAACAGTTACATCATTACTGGTCTGTGAGATTAATGACAAATCCTTAATCTCCCTGTTGATCCTCACAGATGTATCGCCTGCTGTTGAGTGTTTGCTTTTGAGGGGGGGACGGGGCGAAGGGAATTTGTTCAGAATGTACAGTATATATTGTTTTCTCTTTTAACCCCTTCTCCCGGTAATTCTCCGAACACACATTCCATGAAAATGCGTGTTTCTATTCTGTTCTCGGTAGATTATTCTTGCTGTGTGAGGCTTGGACAGAGAGTGCTGACAGGCTGATTGTGTTTGCTGGTGGGGAAACTTCTCAGACCAACGCGATTCTGACGCCCTCAAATGCGTAAAGAATAGACAGATAACCTCCAAGGAACTGCCTGGCTCATTTTGTTCTGTTTCTCCGTAACGCGGAGACTGAAGGCAATTGCATCAAAGTCCTCTGTGTCATTAGCTAACTGGACCCAGATCAGGGAACGAATGTGGGTTGTTCTGGACTGTTTTGACTCAGTGTCACACTATGCACTGCAAACATAATAATACCAATCCTTGCACTTGGTATAGCACCTTATCACGTCGTTGAGACGTCTCAAAGCTCTTCACAGGATATACTGTAACGTGAGTTGACTGTATGTTTTGTGGGTGAAATGCACTAACCACGAGTTAGAGTCCTTTCCTGATTCCCGACTCTTTATAAAGTTTGTTTCTTTGTAATCTGAAACGTCCCATTCAAAGGTGCCTTGGTTATTCGCACATTCCCAATTATAACACCAATGTCTCATGGACGAAGCGAAAACAGTAGCCAACTCCAGGATTACATTTACAGCTGTAGCTACCCGAGCTGCCAACAGTGATTGACATTCTGGTAGGAAGAGGCTTTGCGGAAGTATGCAATTTCAGGCTCGTGGGCGAAAGCGGTCAGATTAAACCTAAATCAAAATCATCCACATAGTTCTCCATTGGAATTTTTTTTACAGTATAAAATTGGAGAGAGAATAAAATAACGGGTATACGAGCAGAAGATACATAGCATTTGAATGAGTTAAGATGAAGAGAATTGTCCAAGCTCTAATCTTGTGGGACAGTATAACGTCCCCCAAATTATCTCCGCTGAGGCCGTGTTTATTGGTAACCGAGTCATCGTACTCTAGAAGGTTAAATGGTTATGTTACTGCTGAGACAGTTTGATGTTTTACAAAGCAAAGGAAACCATTCGTTTCACTGTAGTTAGATAACTCCAGGGACTCCCTAGCAGTCTGCAGCTATAACAGCTTCTCCCAAGCCGGCAGACTGAAAGCAGATGTCCCTATTCAAGTGCACATTAGATAAGTGACGGAGGATTGTTGTGAGGAACAGAGATTTGATACAAGAGCTGGGTGACCTGTCTTCAAACTAGTGTCAAACCCACCTGGGCAGTTATTCCTGCAGCATAAAAGCTGTAGAGCTTTTGTGCAGCAAAGTAACCTCATCCTGTATCTGGGAGTGCATAACAAGGCTTGAGTTGACACTTGCAGCTCCGGTACAAATCCTGTTCGTTAGCTTGTGTATCTAGTGCTGTCCAGCAAAGCTGCTAAACCCCCTGGATGAGCCAATTCTTATTTGTAATTTGCTGATGGCAGGTTCCATGTATGTTCAGACTATGCAACAGGAGGAGGCCATTCAGCCCATTGAACCTGTTCTGCCAGTTTATTAGATCATGACAGGGCTTCTAATCCCATTTCACTGCTTGTCCATATCCTTACTTCCCTTGTAAACATCCCAGTTGCTACTAATTGAATTAGTTGCTTTTCACCCATAATATCTTGCGAGGGGAGGGAATATTGCTTAGGCCACTTTTATTGTGCCTCCTAAAGGGGAGAATAAGAAATTATCTGCCTAATTCTGTCCATGAAAGAAGTAAAAACGTATATTTTTTAAAAAAAAAACTAGTTAATTCCCCTCGTGTTCTGGTAATGATGTTAAATGTAATATTATTCTCTCCGCCCAACAGCTGAAGGCTGCAGATTCAGAGGCCGGTGCCATCACATTGCTCTGGTTGGAGCAACAAGCGTACCTGCTGCTGAAGCTGATGCTGCAGCAGTGCCCGACACAGTATGAGCTGGGGAAGCTGCTGAACTTGCTGGCTGACGTGGACGGAATTCTCAAACTGAACGGTGAGCTTATAGAACCATGGACAGGCAACTCTGCAGAATGGACCCAACCTGGACCTCAATCCACACCTGTTTGTGGGACATCGCTGTGCGCAATTGGCTGCCGCGTTCGCCCACAAATATACAGTCAATTCACTTTACAGTGTATTCTGTGAAGCGCTTTGGGACGTCCTCCCGACGTGAAAAGCGCTATATCAAATGCAAGGATTATTATTATTATTATTATTCACTTTACTTTTCACTCTTTGAAGCGCTTTGAGACGTCTCAACGACGTGATAGGGTGCGATATCAAATGCAAGCATTGTTATTGTTATTTATTCAGAGAAACCAGAGTTCACAATTGCAGTGTTTCCTGACTGTTAGCGGGATACTGCATGTTCGGAGGTTTTTGTTTCGTAAAAGCCTGTAACCTGTTAACTGGCGGTCAACAGGATGTCAAAGCAGTCATAGGCCTGCATGTTATTGAAAGCAACATTCAGCTGGCTGTTTCCCCTTTTGCCTGCTTTTTATTAGAGTTGTGCATTCAAATATATTCTGGGTTACTGGCTGCAGGCTGATCCCTGTGTGACCGAGGTACAATCTACTGCTGGCTAATTGCTATAGACATATTCGCAGACTTTACAATTTTCAGGTCTTCAGTGTCGAGGCTGGAACTAATTTGCAACATGACAGCACATACCACAACCGCCTCCTTCTCACCTGTCAGCCCAGAGGTGCTTTTCTTGACCTCTGACAGACCGCAGCACAGCCGTGCTCCCCAGCCTCTCAGACAGCCACACCACTTGTGCTCAGTCTCGAAGAGAACCAAAGGAGCTGTACAATCAGAGCAAAAAGCAACAACAGTGAAACTCTCAGAAATCTGATCTGTATAATTCGTATAATCGCCTCAGTCATACATCTGCTTAAGGGGGGGGGGGGTGGGGGTGGGAGACGGGTTGGAAACTGGAGGAAGAAAGAGAGAAGGATCCACAGTATTGATCGGAATTTCCAATAATGGGGAGCGGAGTTTTTCAACTGGGAACATGTGCAGAAAATGCTGATGTGGATTTGATAACAGTGCCTATAATGTAGAAATGTGGTGACTATTTGTTAGCCAATTTTCCTGGGATAAGGCCCTACAAACAACCATGATGTAAATGACCCAATTTATCTGAAAAATTGTCATCTGTGACAGCAGGAGAAACTCCCTTCTCTTTTCTTGTCCGAAGGATGACATCTCCGACAGCACAGTGTTCCCACTGAGCTCAGTGGTTCTGATGTTGAACTCGACCTGAACTCAACCATCTGACCCAGAGGCAAGAGTCCTACCGAGTGAGGCAGGCTGATATATAAAGCAGAAGGGGACTGTTTTAGCACACTAATAAAGCCTTGCCTCCTGTCCTGATTATTTAAGTGAGTTTGGGGAGACCCAGTGTTCTCGGGTTACTGCCAGAAGACTCCGAGGTGCTGTACAAATTGTGAAGGCAACAGAGGAGACAACTTCCAGAGAGCTCCCCACTCTTGTGTTTCCACAGGGCTTATTAAACTGTTTCATGCTCTGTTTGTGATGCTATCCATTGCCCTTCTAGTGCTTTTACAGTCTTGCTTGTTAACGCGTTGCCACTCATCATTGATGGTGTTGTTCCCAGTAAGGGACAGGCTCACTTATGTATGTTGCCGTGGGCTCTGCAGTGAACCCTCTAATGTAATCCTGTCGCTTAGTGGTTAGAGCGCTCGCCTCGCAAGCGAGAAGACTGGGTTTGATTCCCAGGCAGGGCAGAATGTTAGGCAAGTTTCTTTACTCCACGTGCCTCTGTTTACCTAGCAGTACGAACCCGGTTGTAAGTCGATTGGGGTTTGCTTTTCTGTGGGGAATAATCTCTTCAAAAATAATAATAATGTCATTCAATCCACGATGTTTGTGGGACACTGCTGTGTGCAATTGGCTGCCGCGTTTCGCCCACAAAGTATAGTCAATTCACTTCACAGTGTATTCTGTGAAGTGCTTTGAGATTCAAAAATGTGATAAGGAGCTATACCAAATGCAAGGTTATTATTATTGATATTTCTGACGTCCTTTCACTCAGAAAGTAGACTTTGCTGTAAAGTAAAGTGTCAGCACGGGTAACTTTCAGTTGACTTCATATTGTTGCTGAATGGATTTCAGCGTCGACTGAGAAATGAAGCCTCATAAAATCAGCCCCTTTGCTCTCCGATCAATTAGTTTCCAAAGGGGGAGAGGGATGACATATGACTTACATTAATTTTGAGCAGGAAAGTTAATTTCACACAAGACCAGCCCAGAAATCTAATCATATGGAATCAATTTTCTATTTCATGAATCATGCAGGAGGGTGAATGGTAGCTATAACCTTCCATCATCTCAGTTGTTTCATGTTAGCTCCAGACCATTGATGAGTAGAATGTCACTAAATGGCTCTGTGGGATAGACATTATTAAACATTGAGGATTAACCTGTGAATTCCGTGTTAAATGGAATAGCAATCTTCCATGTACATTTGTCTTTGTTTAATTTATGAGGGTCAGTTTGGTGACATAATGCAGCAAGCGTAAGTACTGCTTGTCTTGTTTGGGGAGAGGGGAAACCAGGTCATGTAGTCCCTAATAATAAGTAATCCTGACAACTCCAGAAGTGATTCTCGGAAGAAGTTTCCACATTAGCGCAAATCTGATTCCTGATCAAGCAATCCCATTGAGAAATAGCGGGAATTAGACCTCAATTTGTGTGTCTCTCTTACTTTACTTAAAGCAAGAAACCGTCAAGAAGCCTGCCTCCTAGTGGCGAGTTGCAGAACTGTCTGGGAATTTGCCTTAGGGTATGAGGAACAGGGCAAGGCCTGGAATGGGAGAAAAAGACATAACTATTTATCTGCATTTTGTCCATACCCAGACACGGTTTACCGCTCCTGGACCCTTCAAAATAAAACACTTTTTATTCTGTATTGTTTTCCTTTATTATTCCCAGAATGCCAGACACGTTCATTGTTTGTTTCAAAGCTAATAAGTCTGAATATCTTCTGAATCATGCTCTTTAATAAATTAATGTGATGTGTTTCTCCTCCCCACCCCATATCAGGACCTGATTTCCAAAAGTTGAGCACGCTCAGTCATCTTCTGCAAGATACAGACATTTCCATTGATCGCTCCCTCCTCACCAAGTACAGCACAGAGACACTGAAGAGTGCGTGTGGGCAAATCCTGGGACAACTGCAAGAGAAGAGACTCTTCGCTCTGGCCAGACAGGTGGCTGAACTTGCCGAACTTCCAGTGGATAACCTGGTGGTCCAAGAGGTAAAACTAGTTTTAACTTGCTAACAAAGCAAGTGACACTTGCTCTGTGTGTGCGTGCGTGCGTGCGTGCGTGCAAGTGTTTGTGCACATGTTTGTGGGACGCTGCTGTGCTTTTCGCCCACAAACTTCACAGTCGATTCATTTTACGGTATATTCTGTGAAGTGGCTTTTGAGACATCTGAAGACGTGATATATCAAATGCAAGGATTATTATTATTACATACAAGCATTTTTGATGGGAATCTGTCAATGTTGATATATGAAATATCTTTTACAGGTAATTCAAGAAATAGTGAATTTGAAGCGACTTGGACAGTGGCAGAGAAAGGAAACGAGAATAAACTTTTGGAAGAAATGCCACGATTGTTTCAGGAGTAATGTTATTTCCAACCGAGCTGCCTCCAATTTCTTTCTCACTCAAGCCAGCGACATCCCATCTGTCACATCCCACCCAGCGGCCTCCGTCAAAGAACAGCTCTTGAATATCCAGGAAAAGTGCCTGCTGTTTACCATGGCTGGGCACTGGCTATCACACAATGACTCATCGTGCCTGTCAGAGTTGGAAGAGGTGGAGAAGAGTATTTGGTTGTGTCGCGTTGGACAACAGAAGCTGCTGAGGGCCAGCGTGCCCACGGACCCGAGAGATGGCTGGCAGGTTTCAGACTGTGGCGAGGACACGTTCGACAGCGTCACCAGAGAATTTTCTTTCTCTAAGCTCGCTGCTCTCAACTCTCCAGACTATCTCAAACTGGGACGCTTTCCTACCCGTGAGGCAGTTCCGGGCTGCAGGCTGGAAGCAGAGGAAAAGGAGGCCCTGACTGCTTTGATTGGCGAGTTGTTGGACGGAGGCTACATTCACGAAGCCAGTAGAGTCTGTGGGTATTTTAGTTTTTACAATCAAGATACTTCTCTGGTTCTCCACTGCAGAGCCTTAGCCTCGGGAGAGGCACACACAGCAGATTCTGACCCATCCATACGGGTCATCTTAACGACAGGAGCCTGTTTCAACGGTGACATGGGACTGTATCGGAAAAGGGTACCCAGTGGTAAGTTTGTTTTAGTATCTTTCCCGTGACAGTTTCCCTTTCCAAAACTGGGTGAGGAGGGGGAACATATAGAGGCAGTCGGTGATGGATGTCTGTTTTATTTCAACCTCTGGAGGTTTCCTGTCCACTGAGTTCAGTCCTTGTCCACTGTTGCTCACCCATCAGGTTGTGGAGTAGGGTGATCTGGTGCCAGAGGCGATCAGTAGGTAGAAGGAAGTACATGAAACTCTTTGGTTTGTACTTGAACAAACCAGAGTCAAATCCTTGGTCCCTGTCATCCGAAACGATAATAAAGTACATGATGGTAAACCTGATACTATATGTGACACACCAGAATTACCCAAGCCTGGTATTGAATGCAGGTACCGAGATCACCTCCTTTTTTGTGTGGAATTCTGATTCAAGCTTCAGTGGTTTTCCACCATATCCCCACTTTTCAATGCTCATGACATTGGAGAACAGGTTGGCAATGGATGATTGCACTCATAGAAAGCGTTGAAAGCATTTTGTCAATTCAAAGCGCTTCTTGTTTAAATATTTTACAAATGGCTTTTGTTTTCTAAATCAGAGGATGAACTGTTTAACAGGCTACAGTTGCATGATTCGCATGTTGCTCTTTTTAACTTTGAGGCACGTAGAATACTTTGAGTCGAGGATAAAACCTGTGGGCAAGCTGCTTATGCACTTATTGGAGTCCTAACTGAACGGTCGTCCCCTTTCTTTCCGTCCCCAGACATATTTTCTATTCCATTTTGGCGTCTGCATATTTTAAGCACTTTACAGGAAATTCAATTTCCGTGAAAACATCTTAGATATTTTTGCTGTGGTTTTGGTGAATAATAAAAGGATTCTTTATGCAGTCGGGTCTTTGCTGGATACGATTGTTTATCTCCTGTATGCGTAGGTACAAAGGCTACTTTGCAAAGTTTATTACGGCCACATTAGAAGTAATCAAAGTGGAAGGTTTTATGAGGTCGATAAATCTTATCAAAGGGAGCAGCACAAATGAGAATATTACCTTAGATCAGATGCAGAAAATCTGTTGCCATTATGTTCAGACCAGATGAGTCCTACAAATTACCCAACATCGATGTACTTCAAAGGTTTTTACCTTGTTCTGTGTGGATTCCTTGTGGTTGGAGGGAGGGAGGGATCTTTTCACGCATCCCACTGAGCCAGTTTTGAAGATGTTTTGAGGTGCTCCTTGATGGTGCCATGCCAACCGGTATTGAATGGAGCAGAAACAAGCCTCTGATGCTCAAGGAGTACTTGAGAATGGCCTCTTAAAACCAAAACAAGTCTCTTTGGAGTTCTGGCTATACTTAGCAACTCATTGTAAGGGATTCTTCTTAAGTGGAGAGTGGATCTTACATAAGGGCAAAGTGAGGAAAATCAAATCTCCCCCACCCCCCAAAGAAAATCATCCTTCTTTCCCCAGTTTTATCTGTTACCCTGAGTCTGCCATGCTACAGCTGCTATTGCAAACTCTACAGTAAAGTCTTATCTAGTCTTCCCCAGATATCTGCTTTGTTGCACTTCCATCAATACGAAAGAGTTAGTGGAAGAGACATGGATGATGGGTTTGTGTGTTACTTGTACATATCCTGAGCTCAGTTTGTGAGCTTCACAGCGATCTCTTTAGTGCAGAACTGGAAGATGTGGTGTGGTGAGCGCTTTATACCATGTATACTTGGAACACTTTGCCTCTCTCACTTGTATCCCGATGATCATTTCCGTGCAGTGACGAGCAGTAACTTATTCTGTTTTTCCTCCAGTCACCGGTGTAGCCTCGTCCTTCGTGGTTGTTCAGAATTCAGAGGAGGAGGACGGTAAAGATCAAGTGGCCAAGGAACTGCAGATACTGACAAATGAGTGTCACCATGGCAAGAGTTACTGCCGTCAAGTCCTCAGTCTGTACGATCTCTCAAAGGTACCAGCGTTGAACTCTCTTCACCTCGTACAAACTGTCCATTAACGGACCCTGAAGCTGCCTTTAAATCCAATTGATCTTTGAAAAAGATAATCCTGATAGACACGAGAAAATCAACTTTCATAGAGTCTGGAAACGAGTGTCGGACCTGTCTCTCTCTGTCTGTCAGCTCGTTCCACTGTCCGTCCTGTGGCACTGCTTCAACTTCAAACTCCAGTGCAAATTGGCAACATGTGAAAAACTAAATGGTTGCAAACTTGTAGGAAAAAATATAAAAATAGCTGTTTGCAGCCGGCTCTATAATTAAATGCGAAGCTTGTAAATGAGGTGGAAAACAATGATCCCAGCTCCGTGTTCAACTGGCTGATCACAACTGCCCTTGTAGCCCAATGTAATCCAAATCTCTCATGTAAAAAACTGTATATTTTTAGCACGAAACAAGGCCATTCGGACCTTTGTCAGGCTGAGAATTCGTAATTTATTCAAGAAAAATTCTTCATCTCCGAGGTTTAATCTTCTCTGATTGAGCCAGTCTCGGCTCGGCTGTTACAATTAGCTTAGCTGTCCCTGGGTGAGAGTGTGAGAAAGAGAGAACAACCCGGCGTCTTTGCCACTAACTCCTTACTCTTGCTGGAAACGCATGAAAATAAACACCTGGTCAAGACGAGATAAGACTTTGTTTCAGGGTTTGCAGTAACACCTGCACTCACGGTGTAGACGGCATTTGGGAGAGGAGGCTAATGGAAGCTCACATTAGCCCAGTCAGCACTTTGACATGAGGGAGTTAGGGAAGAAAGCTGGATCATTTCCTCGATCAGCGACCAGTTTATCCCCGTGCTCTTTTATATTGTTTCTATAAATTAATTACGTATATATTTATCTACGCTATAAATTAATTATGTACAATTTGTACGTGTCAGACCTAAAACTATATTGCTTCTGCAAACAAACCATGCTTTGGGACGGAAACGGGTCAATACAGTTTTCCATTACCTGCTTCAAGGAGCTGGGCTGTTCCTACAACGACATCTCGTCGCAAGATTCCGAGACCGTCCTTCAGGAGGTGCTGTCATCCCAGCAGCCAGACCGCTACAAAAAGGCCCAGGCGTTCATCACCACCCAGGGGCTGAAAGCCGAGGCAGTGGCAGCTCTCGTAGCTGAGGAGGTGCTTCAGGCCTTACTGTGTTCCAGAGAAGCCAAAGGTGAGGCTCACCGTTCTCACGCTGTGAACCTCAGGAATTCAGGGAAACCGTTCAGCTTTGAGGAGTCTTTATCAGTGATAACAGCACTGCAATCGTCATAATCATACATGGCCTTTTGAGAGATGTTTCACAATGTCCTGTAGCTCACTGGTTAGAGCATTCGCCTTGCAAGCGGGAGATCTGGATTCAATTCCTAGAAGTGGGCGAAACCTTGGGCAAGTTTCCTTACTCCACACGCCTAACAATAATCACTCGAGAAAAAATCAAATAATAATTTGATCACTCAATCCACGACTGTTTGTGGGGACTCTGCTGTGCGCAATTGGCTGCTGCGTTTCGCCCACAAATGTACAGTCAATTCACGTTACAGTGTATTCTGTGAATCGCTTTGAGACGTCTCGAAGATGTTAAAAGCGCTATATCAAATGGAATATATTATTATAATGTGATTTCAGTTACACATCAGCAAATTTGTATTATAAAGTTCCTCAGTCACCCCAGGTCACATTTGTAGCCCAGCCCCGTGGAACTCCAGTGGGACCTGCTTTGTTTGTCCCACTGCATTTAAATTATTTCTTTCTATAATTGGACTCTGCTGTATCAACCCCGGTGCATTATAAGTCGAAGCCACATCTCTCCCTGTTGTGAGGAGCATGTTTTTAAAAAAAACATTCTTATTCCATTCATGTGTGTGCCCGATTTCCTGTGGAATTCTTAAAAAGATATATTGTATATACATTAATTTGTAGCATCTGGTACGCCGTCCTCGTCTGTTTTTTTTAAGAAAGGTAAAGTTTGATTTGAAATACTACTACTGCGATTATGTCAATTCAAAGGTCATTTGGGAAATGTATCCTCCCACTCCAGATAAATGACTATGGACGCAGCTAACCCTGCTTTGCAAAGGTTTGACGAATGGAAGTTTACAGGGAAACTGAAATCTGGCTCTCGACTTCAAAAAGCGATTGATTTAAGTATTTAACCAAGTGCAGAAGGCAGGAAAGACTTGGCAAGCCGCACAGCTCGTGCTTTAGAACATGAGCTCTCACAAATAGTGAGTCATGTTGTCAAATCTGCTGATCATAAATTCTAAAATGTCAAATAGTTTCCTATTTATACCTAATTTATCATGTTATATAATGGCCACTAGATTCTTTTCCTGCCCCCACCTTCCTTACGATACAAGTGAAGTATGTTACTCCCTTGGAATAGAGCGGCCAAATGAAACCTGATAATGCTTTGGTTTCGCCTGGTATCTGTCACTGTCTTCCCTCAGACCAATCTTTTCTAAGTCAAGAGAAACTGCCCATGTGATCGTCAACTATAAATAATTGTATAGGATAGAATTTGTGAAAAAAAGTAATAATAATAATTTGCTTACTCAATCCACAACTGTTTGTGGGACGCTGCTGTGCGCAATTGGCTGCCGTGTTACGCCCACAAAATACACAGTCAATTCACTTGACAGTCTATTCTGTGAAGCGCTTTGAGGCGTCTCAAAGACGTGATAAGGCTCTATATCAAATGCGAGGATTATTATTAGGAAAATGCCTGAATGGAAAGTGTGGCAAAGGTTGTGACGCATCGAGAGGCTCAGATACGGCAAAGATTCAAGCTTTTGCTCTTGTCGTGTATTCTGTGTTTAACCCCACCATTAGGGAACATTAAGCCCTGCATTCAAGTTTTGAATTGTGTTCTGTGCTGAGATAGCTGGTCGCAGCCAAGGCAGCAATTGGGGGTACAGTAATTGGCCTCATTAGGGATTAGAACAGGGTGAAAATCTGCCAAGGATCAGATCAGGCGGCTTCAAAGACATTATATGCAGAAAGAGTAGCATTTCAAGAGTTCATAGCATTGAAAGGTGACTCATTTAACTCTCCTCTCTGCCCAGTTTGTGTCTACAGCATTAATTAAAACTGCCTGGAGGTTTAGCACAATGATGAGTGTAGTGGGTTTGAATGAGGAACATCTGTCATGGTGAGGCACCAGAGATGGGTTGATCCTCTACATTTGTCTTTGTTTGTAGGGCCGGCAGCGAAACAGATCTACAACCCTCTGGATGGAAAAGAAGCATTCCTGCAGCTGGCGAAACTGTGCCAGGACCCAATCCTTGTTGGCACCAAGTTGTTGGATAAAATTTCTTCCATTCCAAATGGGGCATTGGAGTGCAGTAAGTACCTCAAGACTCTCTGATCTCAGGAATAATGATGGTTCCGGCCGGAACTGTTTCTTCGTGTTGCTATTGAGTTACAGTTCTTGAGAGTAGAACTCTGAACATTGCAGCTTGTAAATGTAAGTGTTGTCACTGCCGTTTGTTCTCATCTCTCTCTTTCTCTCTCTCTGCCCCAAAGTGGTGGAGTTGCTGATTCTAGCCCACGATTGCTTCAGCTTGACATGTCACATGGAGGGTATCAGCAGAGTCCTGCAGGCTGCCCGGCACCTCAGCCACAAGCACCTGGCACCCAATGAAGAGTACAGCCTGATGGTAGGTGCACAGCCCAAGCTAAAGACCTTTTATTACCCTCTGAAGTAACAAAACCACTTTGTCGCTTTGAAGTTTGGAGAATTCACATTCAGTCAAGCCCAGTGATATATTGTCCAAGTGCAGTACATCGCTTATAACAAGACCAGTGAGAGGTTGCTCAGGATGCACAATCAATTGCAAAAGGTGGAGATCTGTGAGCTTTGTGCTACCTGAGATTATTTTGTTACTCATAGATCACCTGGAATCAGTATTACAGTAAGCCTCACTTAAGTCGTATCAGTTGGGACCATACATTTAATGCAACTTATGCAAAGTATGAGCTATGTCAAACTTGCATAGAATATAAACTGTTGAATGTGACTGGGGCAGATGTACGACTTAGACGGTTTTACGATTTATACAGATCAGACTTATGCGGGTTTTACTGTATTTGAAGGAAAGCAATCTCCAAACTTGCTCCAGACAAAAAGTGTGTCTCTCTCTCTCTCTCTCTCTCTGTGTGCAGGTGCGACTGATCACTGGCATCGGCAGGTACAATGACATGACCTACATATTTGACCTGCTGCACGAGAACCATAGGTTTGAGATGCTGCTGAGGAAGAATGTTGATTCGGTAAGTGGGCATCGGGAGAGAGAAAACCATTGGCTGGAAGACACGGTACTTTCTAATGGAAAATAGCCGCTTCCTTCCTCCTTCCATCACGCCCCTCCCCCCCACGCCCCGCCATCCACCGCTCCCCAGCTGACATCATGTACCTAAATCTGCTTGTAGTGGGAATGGAGCCAGTGACCTGCCACTCCGGGCAATGCCTTTGCTCACACAGCCACGAGAGGGCAGCTCCACAGCTCAGATTTCAATGGATTTAATTTTTTTTCCTGTTGGACCTTGTTTTTGTTTCAACACGCCTTAAGAGAGTCTGAGGGCACACAGCACGGCTCAATCACTTCTCATTCCAGTGTAAACATCAGTCTGTTACTCGATGGCATTCCCCACTCGTGCAAAATTCAATAATTTCCTCATTTGATACGTTTTGGCGTGTTTCCCTGCTGTTTCCTTTCCTTCCTCCTGCTCACCCAGTGTGAAGCCTGTCTCAAGACTTTCCTCTTTGACTGTCTTCGGCCACACTCCCACCCCCACTCCTCCACTCCTTAATTATCCAGCGCCTTGGGACATCCTTCCGACATGAAAGGCGCTGTGTAAATGTAATTTGTTGTTGCTGTTGAATTCACTGAGTAAGAGAGTGTCCACTAGATGAACTCTGTGGCACACCGTCCGTTTGCCATCAGCTTGCTGCCTCCAATACTTCCAAACGCCCATCGGATTTCCACCTATCTGTTTCGGGGCAGGTTTGGGGGATTCTCACAGAATGTGCTGTATTCTCACCCGCTGTATTGTGCTCACGCCCAGAACGGGAACCTGAAGACTGCTTTGCTCGATTACATCAAGCGCTGTCTCCCCGGGGACAGCGAGAAGCACAACATGGTGGCGTTTTGCTTCAGTATGTGTCGGGAGATTGGGGAGAACCACGAGGGTGCGGCCCGCGTCCAGCTCAAAATCGTAGAGTCACAGCCTTGGGGTGAGTGTGTGTGTGTGTGTATATGTATGTGTGTGTGTGTGCACGTGGGGGTGCTGGGGGGGAAGGAGGGCTGCTGTTTAGTGTGTTGGCAATCCCAGCTTCAGTTACTCAATGCTGCTCTGTGTGTCTTCAACATTTGCCCAATCTCTCAATGCTCCTCTGTAATCTATGCCACGCACAATGATTGGGAATTCATCAATCGGCAAGTTAGAAGTGTTTATTTGGAGGTTGTTATAACCTATTGTACAGCCTGTGTTCTGGCATGTTTCAGAGGTGACTCCTGAGTTGAAGAAGTCTCTGGTGAAAGTCCTCACTTTTCTGAAGGACGCCGCTGAGAGTTACTCTAAGGTAACTGTTTGTTCATTGAAGCTTTACCTCGGGAACCGTAATGTTGTCATCCAGTGGTTCTTAACAGCTTTGTACAGCATTGAATTGGGATTAGAGTAGCCAGCTCCAATAGGAAGCCTTTTGAGCCCAGTCTCTATCAACACTGTAATGACATTTGTAAATTGAAATGTCGAAACACATGAGGGTGACGGGAATAGAGGGGTGTGGGAGGGAGTAAGAATTGGTGGACATGTGTGGAGTATAAAGAGCAACACGGACTGGTTGGGCCGAATGGCCTGTTTCCGTGCACTGCAGTCTTAAGTGAAAAGGCTATAACTAAGATGCTGTTGAATGGTGATTTTATTTAACTGTGAGTCATGTCACAGCACCTGCTCCCCCGGTGGGGGGGGGGGGGGGGGGTCGGGGTTGAGAGTCGGAAGGGAAGCTTGTGAAGGGCAGGGAAGAGAAACGTTAATAAGTGTGCGCTGTGGCCTGATCGTGCAGTTCACATCCAGGAACTTGATCAGATGCAGATGGCGGCTGGGTGGTAAAGGGCACACGTCTCCGGGCGGGGAGTGGGGGAGGTCATCTCTTCTCCAGCTGCTCACAGAGAACCTTGTCATTTTTAATCCCTCGTAAGAGACTCGCAAATGGTTTCACCCTGGCACCAGTACCAGTGGGTGATTTTATGATTTTTTTTAAGCTTTTTATTTCTCACACACACAACAAACTCCATTTCTACAACACTTTTCATGTTGGGAGGACGTCCCAAAGCGCTGGATTGCACCTGAGCTGGGGGTTGGGATCAGGAGATGTGGAGGACAAGGAGGGTGGGGGCAGGAGGGTGACCGAAGGCGTAGTTGAAGTGGAAGGTCTTAAGATGGCAGTGGAGAGAGGCGAGACCAAGGGACACAAAATAAACAGGCTCTCTTGATAGTTTAGTGGGTAACATCATGAAGCCATGTCCTCGACTCCAGGATGTTTAAATCTGTACTGCTAGTTTTTCATTTCAATATTAAAGTAAAGCATTACTGACTCCAGGAAATGTTTTCATATTCAATTTTTGCAAAAGAAAAAATTCTCCCAAACATAAATACAAGGCATTATCCCTCCAGTATAATGATAGGGCCTGACATTTAATTTAGAGAGAATTCCAATGTGAACGATTCTTAATCCATCAACCCCTTCCTGGTTGAACTCTGAAAATGCAGCTGATAAGTCTGACATTTTGAACAAACGCACGTAATGAATTCTCAGCTCTCGCCTCCTAAACACTCGCTGCTTCATTTATCACTAGTGAGCAGACTGCTGATTTTATCGCTCTGATCAGTTCTCTGAATCAAAGCAAGTCTCCAGCCTCTTCATCATCATGTATAGCTGTAGCTGCCCAAAAGCCATTTTTATTTTCGGAAAATAAAATAACTAATCCCCAAATTTCAAATTCTCTCGTAGCCTTTCACAGGTAATTGCTATCAAGTGGCTGTGTCTGAAGGCAAACGCTTACAAATTACTTGAGAGAAGTAATGCTAGTTTTTATATTTTACAGGACTTACTAGAAACTCTCAGTGTTTTGTGTTGATGATGGCTATTCTGCGATGTGAGCTATTTCCTTGCCTTCCTCTCTCCAGGATTGTTGCATACGCCGTGCAACCCAGTGTGTGAAGCTCGCGAAGCTGGTGACACTGCAGCTCCACTTCCTGAATAACAACCACAACACGCAGTTAATCAACCTGCAGAGAAGTGGCTTGATGCCGTGTATCTTGTCCCTGCCTCGGTTCTATCAGGTACTGCGGAGGGTGAGGGTGGCTGGGGTCAGGGGCAGTGTCTCTGGTCACTCCGTCAATCCTAGCGTCATTTTACGTGCTGCTCTGTGGCTTCGTGCTCATTGCTTTAAGTGATGTCTTAAAATAACGATTGGTTTCTTCTTCAACCCTTTACTCAAATATCACATCACATTGAGGAGCTTCCGAGTTCCCAGCTACAGTAACAAAAGGGAATATTCTTTGGAGGAGTAACTATATACAATTCCTGTTATAATGCAGTTGGTTACTTAGCTACTTTCCTGTAAAAGGCACTGAATGCATTATTTCCGAGTAAAATACCTGTTTTCAGTAGGTCGGCTATGCAGTCTAAAATGCCCTCCTTGCAGGTTTATAATAGACTAGGTTCGGGTCATGGTTTCCTGCTGGTCTCTGCTCACTCAGGTGATCACCAGATGACTTTAAGGTAACAGTGAATTGTAAAGCTGTGTGGATAGTGATGGATGTGACTAGAGTTTTGTGAACAAGCCTCTAACGCCCTGTAGAATTGATCCAGCGGCTTGTAACGCCCATCGGTACCTTGCGGGTGTAATACACGTTTTTCTGTTTATTTTTGCCGAATGGCAGCATTATCAATCTGCCTCTTTGTCACTGTCTTTCACCTTCGTTCCTCTGCATCCAGGCTGCCATAGTCGCTGAAGCGTATGACTTTGTTCCTGACTGGGCGGAGGTGCTGTACCAGCATGTGATTGTGAGGGGGGAGTTTACCTACCTGGAGGAGTTTAAGCAGCAGCACAGTCTGCAGCAGAGTCTATTCGAAGAAATTTCTAACAAGTAAGCACAGCCTTTCAGCAGATCTCGGACATTTGTCCAGGTGCCTCTGTATTCTATTTGCTGCAACCCTTTTAGAGCTGGGATGGGGGGAGAATCCTGTAATCCTGTGACATTCCACAACTCTGCGTTATAAAGAATTCATTCAACAATACAGATCTAATGAGAATGATCAGTTTTAACCACGGCTTGGTGGAAATAACCGTGTTTAAAGGGGACACGAGTAGGAAATGTGCAGATAGAAAGTTTTGCAGTGCTTTGTAGTTGAATAACAGTGGTTCTACTTCAGTCTCACCAAGTGTCACCAGATATGTCTAGGTGGCCACTCAATAATGTCATCTCTGTGTAGATTAGCTTAACTAGAGGGCAGATATTCACCGAGCAAACCAGTGCTGTTACAGACTGTTAATCGTCAAGTACTCTTAATGACTATCCAGTTCCTAAGTTCACATGGGAGAAGATGGACAGAATCTAGATTGCCTGTGGGGAGGTAGTGCAAATGAACTGTGTAAACAATTTCAGGAACTATATAATGGTGAGTGGGGGCTGGAGGTGATGGAAGGCTGGCCAGATGGATGATAAAAACGATGATATTTGAATGTTTCCAGATTTAAACAACACAAAGGAGACACTGCTGCGAGTCAGAACCTGAAGCGGTTACTGCAGTGCTGTGAGGACGTCTACCTGTTTTACAAACTGGCGTTCGAGCATAACTTCAACGACATCGCCAACAAGCTCCTTAAAGAACCCCAAACTAGCTGTTACCTCAAAGATATGATCGCCAGCTAAGTCACCACTGCCGATGTGTCGGTCGGTATCTAACCCATGTTAAACAGGTTTGGTTTTATACAATGATCTTGTAAATACTTTACTGGGCAATTTGTTTTAGCCTTTAATTATATGTACAGCACATAAAGCCGAGCGCTCTCAACTCGGGACCCATCAGACCCTGATCACAAGAAATACCAGACACCTAAATCAGTCCTGTAAGTAAATGGAGTTCATTACTGCAGACTGAATATTGCACTAAATATGGATATGTAAAAGATTCCCATTTGATAGCAAAGGCGACGTTTCCACAAGAATTTATATACATTATTTTTCTGCTCTTCAGGGACCCCTGTGGCTGTAGATGTTTGTGTATGTCCAGTGTTTGCTGCTAATTTCTTAAGCTTTCAAATCAAATCCTGTAAATCAGATCTAATTGGTTTGGAGTTCAACCCCATTCTGTGAAGTTTGCACCAAATGTGAAATAAGAATCAATTTCCCATTTGTTGAAAATCATCCCTGGCTTCCAATTAAAAATAATTACAAGTGTATTAATTCATTGCATACACTAACCAGTTTTGTCGATGAAAGGGGCTCCCAGTGTGGGTTACAATTTATCCCTAACTATGTTAGATACTAGCTGTCACTCTGTTCCAAATATTAGTTAAAGAAATGCTTTGTGCTTATGTTCACTCACAAGTATGGTTTTGTCTTTAAGTGAGAAACTTCTTAAAATATCACAACCCAATCTTTCTCTTCCTAAACTGTAGAAAGTGTCATGTGAGCAACATGTCCACTACACGATTGTGGGTGAATAAATTGGCCTGCAAGGCACAGCCAAAAAATGTAGTTTTATGATTCAAACCTCAGGGAACAGAGCAGGTTTTGATGTGCTCTACCATCCTCAAGCCCCAATAGTTTCCAATAAGGTGTTGGGTTTCTCACGTGGTAGCACTTTCACCTTGAGTCAGAAGGTTATGAGGGTCAAGCCCCACACAATTAGATCTGATAAGCTTATAGACTAGGCTGCCACTCATGTGTGCTGTATTGTCAGAGGTGCTGCCTTTGGATGAGGTGTTGAATTTGACCATGTTTGTGTTTGGTTGGGTGGATGCTAAGGATCCTTATACAAAAGGGAGTTTCTCCTTACCAACAATCCTGTAGATAAATTAGTCATTCACTTCATGCTTGTTTGTGGCACATTGCTGTGTGCAGAATGATTGCCCCCATTCCTTCAAAACAGTTACCTTCTACAGGAAATCCTACAAAGCAATGTGAGATGTTTTAACATAAAGCAGGTCAAATGCAGGAATGAATTGTCCTCACTCTGCCCAGTACATCAGCAAGACTGTTACAAATGCACGGGAATGAAAACCTGATTGAAACTATACTGTAATTTCAATCATTTCACTTTGTACCTGCACTCTGCTGGTGCAGTAGAAGGTCCTTTAAAATAATTGAAATTTAAGTAGCTAAAGTTTCCTCAGCAAAATAAAATTCACATTTATATACTCTGGTAATGTTGATTTGCAAAATGTTAACCTGTGTGAAATTAATACTTTATCCCACGTGGATTATTTGTGTTGGCAAAAACTACAAGGGCTGAGCAATAGAATGCAATTGGAGCCCCATTGATTCTCAGTGCCTTGGGACATCCTCCTGATTTGAAAGGCGCTATAAAAATGTAATTTGTTATCTTGGAAATCCACAGTAGATCAATCAGTATTTGACAAGAGGGGCAGAAAATTTACACCTGCGCTGTTATCCCATTGTTACTCGCGGATACCAATTGATGCGTTGTAGATTCACAGCATTTTCTTTACTATCTTACATTGTCTTAGCCCCAGTCAATTCCAGCTGAGAAAAGTCACAGCAATCCAAACTGATTACATGAAATTTATTGAACGTTTATGTCCTAAACCATGGCAAATATCCAAGTCTTTACACAGAAAGAGCCTTTCCCAATATTATTCCTGCAGCTCAATTGGTTAGCAGCAGATGAGTTCAAACAATGAAGAAATAAAAATCCGAAGAAAATAAGTCCAAGGACACATTTTGCAATGAGCAGAGGGAAGGGGGAGAGAAGTAAAGGTTATAAAAATTTGGGTGCATCAAACTAAAAACTGCCAAGAAGCAGTTACCTAGATTTTCTCTTGCACGCTGCTCCAACCAAATTCGCTCTGGGGGCAGGGAGAAGCAAACGGAGTGAATGAAGTAAACACAGCACAAACAACTTGCTTGACAGCATGTAACTACTGCAGTTATTACAGATTTTGTGTCTGTTTTCCCCCCAACCACACACTATTATATAATTTGGGACACAACATGTGAAACAACTCCCAGGATGGTGGAAGGCAAACTAGATAGAGCTTGGTCTTCCATCGCCCACCAAAGTCTTGTGTTCTCCTGCACTCACTGGCAGTGTACGTCACATAATTTTTTAAAAAAAGACTACATGCTATGAGTTCTTTTCAATTTTTACTTTTCTTTTTTTTTTAAAAAATGCTTTTTTTTTTCCTTTTCCAAGAACTGAGCTGTCTTCGACAACAGCCTCGTGATTTTTTCTGTCTTGTGGCATCCACGTAAAGTGCTGTAGGTAGGAGGAACCGGGTCCCTTATTCACTTGTGATGAAGTTGGTTTGAAAGCACTTCTGAAACATTTACATTGGTCTGTTCTCCAGGGTTACAGCAAATGAGTGTGTGTGCACGGAGCAGACTTCACACATCCAACCCCCACCCCCCAAAGAGGTTGACCAAAAAAAAGGCCACAAAATTCTCACTAGAACTACAGCAACTTTTTTCTTAAATATCTGCATTTCAGTTACAAATAATTTCAATTGGAAATAAATTATTCACCATGAAGGAGACTGCTTTCATCCATTCCTCTCTCTCTCCTCCCCCCCCTCCACTCACCAGCACAATGCGTTTAATGACTTCAAAGCGAACTTCATCTCCTTTCTGATGGCAAAAATAAAGGCCAGAGAATCACAAGGGCCCTGGAGATGGAGTTGGACTCGAGATTGAGATTTGAAGTCATAACCATGGTATTCTGATCCAATATGAAACCATTCTGTTTATTTGTTGTTCTCTTCTGAAGGGAATAAGTCACACTGGGGCTCAGCTCCACAGGCACCGGCAAGCATTCAGCATCTTGACTCGAGTGAACACAGAGCGTTGGCAGGCGATTCAGCCGTGCGAGCAATCCCAGCCCAGCCAAGCTAGATCCTGTCCTCATCACATCTCCACAAGCACGGTTGCCAGCGGAGCTCATTTGAAAGAAATCAGGGTCACAGGTGTTTTGTGGAGCCTAGAGAGAGCCAATTGAATATCCCACAACCATCACCCAGCATGAAATCCACTAACTCAGCCAGGGCCTCAGCACCACAACCCGAGCTATATTTATACACTGAGTAATTAGGGAGCAAGGAGCCGCTCAGTGTTATATTGGGACAATAACCTCAACACTAGAAGCTCCTGACGAAGTGGATAAAATACCCTTTGTGGCCTCTGGACTACAGTCCTCCATTTTCAGGGCCACTGGATTGCACAGCCATGTTGGAAGGAACTCACATGGTCAAGAAGCTCGAGCAACTCAGGCCGGAAGTACTGAAACTCTCTCCTCCTGGGGTGGAAATATTAGGATCTCTAAACATGTTAATTAAGAGGGTTGATTTTCATTTAAAAAAAAAGAAAAGGTAAAGTCAGGAACTCCTGGCCAAAATACTGATCTTGAAAACAAATGGTTTTGGGGGATGTTTCCTAACATCACAGTAAAGTTGATAACTACAAATTCAGCTCAGGTCACAAATACAAACACTGCAATGTCCTGAATTTTTTCAAACATTGTTTTCTCTCTTTCCCCCCCCCCCACCCAGAACCTTTCTTTTCAAATTCACTCGGGCATTTTTGTCCAGAGTCCCCTCGGAGGTTAGTCAGCGACAGTAGGATTAATTATGGTACCAATAATATGAGTTGTCAATGTAATCAGAATCAGGCATCTTGAGGTCTCAGTGTTTCCAAGATAATGCAAGGAGGTTTGGTGCAACTCTGAGAGGAAACCAGCAACAGAAAGGAGGCTGTACTACGCAAACATGCTCGAAGAAGAGTTCTAAGGGCGAGGAGAACATCACATAAAGTCTTCATACTCTGGCGTATAACCACCATAGTCATCTAGATCATCTTTCAGATTTGCCTTGAATCCACCTGCAAGCACTGGGGTTTTCTTCTTTTTCTTGCCTTTGTTTTGCTTAAAAATAGGGAAAGAAAGGAAGAAATCCATCAGTTTGTTTACCGCGTGTTAGAATGTGGTCCTCACTGGGAGATTATCTTGGAGTCATTAGGACTAACATCCCATAGATTTCCTTTGTCTAATTCCAATATTTCTATTTGACTGGCAAGCTCTGATACCACTGCAGCATGGAGGGGCTGATAGTTGGACAATACAAGTAGGGAACCAGTGGTGACGGTCATTAACCCAGTGTGTTTCAGTAATGTAGTCCTAATGGTTATGAGAACCACCTTTGAACATGGTCCTACGTCTGTGAGAAAGGCAGAAGAAGGCACATGCCTGACTGAGGGGCAGAGTGGACACAAAGGGGTAAATGTAGAGCAGTTCTCTCTGCTGGAGCACCATCTCTCCAACTCGACCCACCCTCTCCTCGTTCAAGGCACGTCTCAAAACGCAGCTCTTTGACTGCTCTCTCTGGGTGATTTTGCCTCTCCCTACCCCTCTTTGGCTCGGGTGCCAAGCTGGCATTGTCGAGTGCTTCGAGACATCTTCCCAATATGAAAAAGCACTAGATAAATGTAAATTGTATTGTACGCACTCAAAAAAAGGGGCACAGCAGCCTTCAACACACAAAATCAAATAAATTGCAATTCTGAAATACAAAATGTTCAAATAGAAGCCAACAATTCTGCCAAATTCATATTAGACCAGTTTAAAATAGAAATTTAAAAAGGGGGGAATCAATCCCCACAGATGTTTGTCAGCAGAGAGCTCTTTTTCCCTCTTGCATGCAATGAAACCATTTTCAAGCCAAGCACTTTGCACAATCAAATATTAAAAACCTGCCCTATGAAACATTCAAAAATTCAATAGTTCCACAAGTATCAAAACTGTGAGCTGTAACTGATTTTCCCAAGGACTTGGGGAAGATTAAACATTCAAAGAATCCTGGGATCTCGTGCAGTGACAGCTCATCGCATTAGCATAGGTTGCAACCTCTACTAGTTCTGTTCAAACTCCGAGTTAATATGGTTGAGAACCACAGGAAGCATTGGCTGGCAGTGAATTGTAGCTGGTTTTTTTTAAATCCGCCAAGCGCCAAATACACGTGGAAACCCAGCACCATTCTTTTAAGAGTATCCAAACCTTACAGTTCCACAGATGCACTGCCGCCTGGACCGTCCCAGATAATTCACTTGTCGATAATACCTCGCTATGGGAGAAGATCACATCAGTCGCTTTCCCCCCCCCACCCCCCCAGTAGCTTGGCTGTGATTGTGAGACCGGCACAGAGAAACATTGCTCATTAGCTCACAGTGAGTCATCAGACCATCAATGCTCCATCTTTAAAGTTCTTTCAACACTTGGGGAGCTGTACAGTTGTGTAGATTAAGACTGAAGTAGAAACCAGGCTGAGGCCCGGCAAGACTCGGCGCTCAGTTTACTTTTTGCATCAAACAACATAAATTGGCTGGGACTATAGCGCATCAAAATAAAAAAAAACCAAGGTAAAACAAGGCTTCTGTGAAGTGCACTAGGCAGAATCTTTTAAAAGAAATCTGCAGGCTGTGTGAAAGATGTTCCCCATGTAATGGAACTTATCACATAACTGCTCACATCACTTAGAGAATGCACCATGGGGTGGCTGTGCAATCTATCCTACTGGCGTTTCAGATAAGATCGGATCTTCAAAAAGTTTTTAAAAAAACTCCATAAATGATCACTTAAAAATTGGAAGGTAAGTTTTAAGTACTTTCACTGATAAGCAGCTATGTCTAGAATGTATTCCTGCTCTTCCAATATTTTCTCTCTGCTAAAATACCTTCACCTCTTCAAGGAGCGAGTGGTATACAACTACAGGAGTGATGTGGGGTGAGAGGATTCCCTCAGTGTCTGTCTCTCCATGGCACTTATTTTATAAGGCGGGGGGGCGGCTGGGGGGAGGAGAAGAGAGAGAATATCGGTCTCAATCAGCAATAAATTTTGGTGAAGGTTCCTACAGGAAATCACGAGAGAAAAGTTCCATTGACAATAAAGGGGGGGGGGGGGAGAGGAAGAGAGAAAAGCTGGAGAGAGAGAGGGGGGCACACAAGTATGCACTTATACACACAGGTTGATGCACAACCACAAATTTGTTAAATACACTTCCAAGGGTCAGGGCGGCTGACAGAATCTTTTATAACACTTACCTCACTCAGCCTGACAACCTGTTATTGAGCTGCGCTGTTTTGAGTTTGTGCAGAGGAGTCATGTGCTGTAATGTTACTGGAGTCACTATGATGGAATTAGAAGCTGATGTCGGCACCGGGGTTGTATGTGTGTTGGGGGGGGAGAGATAGGGAGTGGTAACAGCCTCCTCACCTTTTCTTGTTTCTGTTTTTCACTACACAAACTCGTCAAGGAGTTGTTCAGTTTCTTCAAGTCATCCACCTCCACTGCAAGAGAGAAAAAAAAACCACAGGCCTTTGAGTTCCTCCACAGCTAATCTCCATACCTAAACAACTTCCTCTCTACACCTCGTCTAACTAACACAATGCACCATCTTGAGAAACTTACGTGAAAGGCTGATGCCTTGAAGCAGTGTCTCCAAGAAGTCGATGTAATGTTCTGATTTTTCATACTGAGTGATCTTCTCCTTCAAAAGTCTCCCGAACTCCGTGAAGTCTTCTCTCGAGATGGGGGACATGGAATCGATCGCAGGCTGCCCAATGCTATTTAAGCCTAGGAGAGGAAACAGCATTTAAAAGGTGGGTCTCTCTCTCTCCCCAGTCTCTTCCTCCGGTGAGAACGGTGAACAGAGAACATTTCCCAGCTCTACAGCACGTTAGACAGCAGCCAATTCGTTACCCCCACATCATGAACATCTCGAGAATGGAAGTCAAACTTTAGTGTGGTAATTTGTAACTCAATCCATTACACACTTGTTTGCATCACAGTAACTCAATGCCATTAGAACTCCCTCAGGCTCTCTCCCCGAGGGAAAAACAGGTTTTCAAAACATTGGGCTATTCAAAGATTGGCAAAAGAAAGACATTAACATAGTTTTTGGGACTGGTGAAATTTAAGAGGTCTGTGAATTTCAAGGATTAATCTGTTTTCCATTACTCCTCTCTCATTGCGTGCAACAGACGTTACTTATTATTGCAATCAATCAGGAGGAGATTGCATCAGGGAATAGCTGCTCCTGAAATTAGTTGAGACGGGAGAAAAGGATTTAGTGAAAAAAAATCTAAAATCCCATCGAGCTAAAGGGCCCCCACATCCTTACATGAGAAATAATCAATAAATAACAACAATTTATATTTATACAGTAACCTTCACACAGGGGAGCACATAGGAATCCCAAGCCATTACCCTGAAACAGAAATATTAATATTTTTATGAAACTAAGAATTAAGAATGTTTCTACGCTACAAGGCGCACACTGCAATGCAGTACAGGGCTGCCCTGGTGTCTTGGTCAACAATCCCTCACATAAAATTGGTTATTCACTACATGGCCGTTATTGAGACGTTCATGTGTGTAAATTGACTGCCATATTCAAAACGCGTACACCTACACATCACAGTAAAATCCTGTGAAGTGCTTTGAGATGTCCTACCGACGTGAAAGGTATGATTATTAAATACAGGGATTATTATTATTATAATTATTTGTGGGTCAGGTCATGTTCCAGGACCAGCTGGAAGAGAGGCCTCGGCTGAATCTGGCCCTGCAAATTGTCCCAGCACTAAACTCCCACTTAATGACTTCAATCAGCCTCTCCCCATTGATGACAAAGCATCAGCCCCGATACTCCAGGTGTCACACTGCCAGATGCTCACCTAAACCCAGGCCCAAATAGCGCTGCAACACGTATACTAAACTCGGGCACACCGCGAGCTGTGTTATGGCCCCATCTACAGTACGGAAGCAAAACTGCATCCCTTTACAGCTGTGATCTTAAAAAACGTTATACAATTCTCCGTTAGCTTCCCCTAATGCTGCCAATCAGCACATGGCACTGCTGCCAACCGATCCACACTCTTTGCCTGACTGAGCCAGGTAAGAGGTGGTATGAAGGCCCATCTGTTGTTATGAGAGAGAGAGAGAATGACAACACTGCTCAAGTCAGCATTAAGACTAATCAATGGCTTAAGGATCTGCCACTTCTCAGTAAAGTTGCAGGTGATTTTTTACGGTAAAAGAAGCAACTAAAAGCTGCATCCACTGACACCAGCAAACTAACTTGAGCCAGGTCCCAGATACATCAAATATTACCGCGTCAAAGTCCTAGTTTAGTTCAAAGGTTTAGGGATTAGATTTTCTCTGTAATTTACCAAAAGTGTCTTTCGCTACTTCCAGGTCCGCCTTCTCCTGTAGTTTCATCAGCCGCAGCTTCTCCGCCAGTTGTTCCTCTGTTGAGAGCTCCTGCTGTTTCTCGCCCTCTCTAAGCTAGAATCGAGGAAAGCAGAATTCTTATAGAGATGAGACACAAAATGACCGACCACGGCCAGCCAACACCTCAGAACAGCACGACGATAGCCGGGTCTTCTTCCTCCCTGAATCCTTCAGGCTTTATTCCTAACGTGGTTTAAAATACTCAATTTGTTACGGTCAGGAATGCACTGCCTGAAAGGGTGGTGGAAGCAGATTCCATAGTAGCTTTCCAAAGGGAATTGGATAGGTACTTAAAAGGATAATCTGAAAGACTGTGGGGTGAGAGCAGGGAAGTGGGACTTGTTGGATAGCTCTTTCAGAGCTAGAACAAGCACGAGGGGCCGAATGGCCTCCTTCTGTGCTGTAGGATTCTATGACTCTATTTCACAAAGGAAAGGACAGGCCATACAGCTATACAGAGGGATGCAAAATGGGCAACGCAGTCTCCTCCAGAAGTGCAGAGATGCAGTGGCCTCAACAATTCCACCCCGGGCAAGCATCTTACAATGAATTGACGCAGCAGAACAATGTAGAAATAGGGAATGCAACTGGATCGCAAAGTGTAAAGGGGCTCCGACAGGAAATATTGTGATACTGAGACACAGCACGTCTTCTCCAAACGTGACAGTCTATTCGAGGGCCAAGGTTACCATTAAGGATCAAAGACCTCGGTTTCAATGAACAATCCTCCTCCCTCACGTTTCTCCCTTAAGGGCGGCATGCGCTGCAGTTGATCGGGTGCTGGGAGCCCTGCAGCACATCAACAAGTGGCTGTTTATCACCAGGTGGTTTATGATTAAACCACAATCACTTCCCTGAAACTTTACACAGAAAGTTCCCACACGAAAACTGGGAGTTTCATTCACCTGGTCTGTGTCCACACAAGATTACTCCCCACTCTGTTCCCTTCTCCCTCCCGTGTGCAATTCAACAACAGTGTTCACTGCTTTAACCCTGAAAGGCTTTATTCCTGTCCAGGTCTCTCAGTGACTTAAAAACATAAAGCAACTGAGATAGAGCGCCTCCATGGGCAGAAAAGAGACACTGCAGCATTTCTATACTCGCTGTCGGGGTGCTGTTGGGTCTCCGACCTACGGAAGGTTTCACCCCCAGAAACAGATTGAGCAACTTACACTGTTTTTTAGCTCTTCCTCTTTTTTCCTTTGTTGTTTTTCTTTTTCCTCTCTCGCTTTAATTTTGTCACTTAATTTCTTTTTCTCTGTAGTCTTGATTTCTGCAATAAGCATTTCGGAAAAGTAAAGCCACCCATGCTGGGCGATGTTCAGCTAAATCGGCTGAAAAGGTTTATTACAGGAAAGATGACGGCATCACTGAACTTCGCATCAACCCTCTCCCCATCATTTAGTGCCATTGACACATAATAATCCTTATCTTTGATGCAGTGCCTTATGTCATTGAGACGTCTTAAAGCGCTTCACAGATTACACTACAAAGTGAATTGACTATCATTTGTGAGCGAAACTCGGCAGCCAATTGCGCACAGCAGTGCCCAACAAACAGATTTGTTGGGAGTTTCATTACAACCCACAAAATGCAGCCAATCCGCTTTGCAGTATATTCTGGGAAGTGCTGTGAAGCATCTCAACAATGTGATAAGGCACTGTATCTAATGCAAGGATTATTATTGTTATTATTATTGATTTTATAACCACGAGGCACAATTTGTTAAATTCCATTGAGATTCTTTGCTAAAAAAAAATCACAGAACAATTTGATTGTAGACTACAGTGCCCGAACAAACAGCCCAATCACAATCTGCTGCACTCCAGCCCACCTCTGAACACTCAGGGAGAATTATCCTCAGGCTTTACCTTTCTTCACTGCCTCTTTCTTCTCCTCATCCTCATCATCCCAGTTGTCCTGTGGAAACAAAAAATAGATGTTCTGTTGAGCGCTAATGTTTCTTTTATTTTGCCATTGAAAAGGAGGCAAACGAAAACCATGATAAACAGAAGACAATCAACAATTCCCAAAGCGGCTGTACTTTAATTTAAGTTTATTTTGTCGGCATTTTGCACGGAGCCATCTAAGACTGGGCTGACATTGCGCATTTCTGACTCAATGTTTAAATTGTAAATATCCACTCACGATTCTATATAGGGCGAGCCAATCTTAAATCAGCCGTATTGTACTCTGTCATCAGTAACTAGAGGGTTAAAAATTAAGATGCGTTAAGGGACCACCCAACCCTCTTGCCCTCCAATCCTCTCGATTCCAAACCCCCAGCTCAGGTGCAGAACCTTCACTGTCCAGCGCCTTGGGATGCCTTCTCGACATGAAAGGCACTGTGTAAATGTAATTTGTTGTTTCAGTAGAGAAATGGGATTCTCGATATTCATCCCTCTTCCCAGCCCCCTCCCCTGCACCAGACTGCTATACAAAGCCTCAACCTTTCCAATTTTCAAACTCAGCACATAGCTGCTCCGCTGTGTCAGCTCTAGACGGCAACAATGGCTGCAGAGTCCAGCAGCGCACAGCACTGTGTTATCCTGGGTGCCTGATAATGGGAGAGCATCCCCAACATGGAAAAATCAATAAAGGCATCTTGTTAAGAGCCACGACTTATTATTATGACTAAAACTTCCTGACCACAAGTTGAACAACTTCTATAACACACAATCCCTCATATGAAGCCACCAGTTCAAAATTCAAATCGTAGCCTACTAGAGTAGCCTGTTTTACAGCGCAGCCGTTCCCAGTGAGACATTCATAATCTTGTTACTGCCTCTGGAACAGTATAAGAGAATCACCTTGTGAAACTGCTAGAAACCACTTGTGGAGCCAACACTGAATGTTATAGTATAGAAACAGTCTATTTGGATCATTAAGTCTAGTTGATCTTTTTGAGTTACCTTGTCTAAATCTCAGTAGCCTGCTCTCTATCTCTCTCCACACATACATTGATACCCTTTCTCAAGCATCTAATTTCCTCTTAAAATAACCAATTGACTTTGCCAGAACAAGTCTGTGCCAGAAAATTCCATATCCCAAACATCATCTGCATAAAGTAATTCATTTTCCCAACCTCCCTCTCATCTCTTCTCAATGAGAAGAACGCAACTCACTCAGTTTCTGCGGCAGCACTACGTACCACTTACCGTAAGCTACACAGAAGCTTAGACGTGGACAAAATAAAAAAAAATTCCCATCCCTGATTCAATCAGTGGCACTCTCGCCTCTGGGACAGAAGTTTGTGGGTTCAACTACCATGCCGGGACTTTGAGCTGAACAGTCCAGGCTAACACTGAAGTGTGGTGGGGGGGGGGGGGGGGGAGGGAGAGGCGAGGGGCAGCGCTACTTTTTTGTGAGGTGCAGTCATTCCAACGAGGTCACGCCTGCACCGTTTAGGCGGACGGTAAAAGATCTCGCGGCACTTATTGGAAAAAGACAAGGGAATTTCTCTCTCCTGGGGGGGACGGGGGGACGGACGGTCCTGGCCGACAACCACACCCCCCCCCGAAATAAAACCCGTCACCCACTCACTGACCGACTTCGTGGCCGTTTGTGGGGGACGTTGCCTGGTGCCAAGTGCCAAGTGCAGTGTGTGCCTACATACAACCTATAGACACACACACACACAGTCACTGACATTTCACTCTCCGCTGCAGCGCTCTGCTATATAAGTGTAAGCTGCTGCTGTTGTTTTTCGGCAATAAAAACCTTCCGAGACGATTGTGCGACTCGATGAGGCCGAGTACCAAACACCAGACTTCGTCACGGTTCGTCCCGTGTTGGAGCAAAAAAAAATTGGGAGAGGGGGGGAGGTGCCGGTTGCGCCAGTGCTGACAGACACACACACACACACACACACAGGGTGAAGCGGGTGGAGGTGCTGAGTCACCCCGCGAGGGGGGGGGGAGGGGGGGACACACGCTTTCCTCGGCCACAAGTCGCAGTATGTGAACGCGCCGAGGCCCAGGCCCGGGCCCGGGGGCCGGCAGTTAGCGCCGAGGCCTTGCCCCTCCTCCCTCTCCCTCTCACCTTCACGTCCTCCTCCACGTCCTCGCCTTTCCAGAGGTCCACCGCCGGCGTCTGGCTCGCCAACTCCTCCGGCTCGAAATCGGCGGTGTCTGCGGGAGGGAGAGAGAGAGAGAGAGAGAGTGAGAGTCTCACACACACACACACAGTCAGTCAGTCAGTCGGCGCCGCCAGAAGATACTCAATCCCTCGCCGCTACCCCTCCCCGTGTCAGTCCCGACCCCAACACCCGGACCCCACCGAAAGCCCCCGCTCGAAGCCCCTGAGGGCGTCGACAAACGTGCTCACCCCAACCGTCCGACTCCGCCATCTTTACCGCCTGTGGCACGGGGGTTGTGGGATGCTGGAGGACCGGGGCTGGGAGCAGTCCTGTGTTGGCAGCGCGCGGGGGTTGTGGGATACTGGAGGACCGGGGCTGGGAGCAGTCCTGTGTTGGCAGCGCGCGGGGGTTGTGGGATACTGGAGGACCGGGGCTGGGAGCAGTCCTGTGTTGGCAGCGCGCGGGGGTTGTGGGATACTGGAGGACCGGGGGTGGGAGGACTATTGCTGGGACTAAATTCTCTCAGACACTCTCACTGTCTCTCTCCCTCTCTCCGGTATTTTCTGTGAAAGCGTTTCGTTCGGACGCGATGGTCGCCCCTGTGACTGCGGCTGTGCCCGTCTCCGCCGCCCCTGAGGCCTTTATTTTCATCACCACAGGTGTGAGCTGAACCTAAGCGCCGCCCGGGGTGAAGGCCGCTGTATAAATCCAAGTTGTCGTCGTCGTCGACGTCGTCGTCGTTGTTGTCGTCGTCGTCGTGGTGGTGGTGGCAATGCGATGCCTCTCTTTTCCCCCCACAACCCCCCCCCATCGCCTCTTAACCCTAACGTTGCTCGGCGGCGATGAGCTGCGGGTTGTAAAGCGACCCCCGCGGCCCGTTATTTCCCCGGCAGCGCAGCGCAGAGGGCACCGCACCGCAGGAGGAGCTACGCTGCGAGCGGCGCTGCCGGAGAGCCCCCCCGACCCCCCGCTGGTCCGGGGTCGCCTTCTTCGTGTCGGTCCCCAGTGTGCGATTGACGTGCCACCGTGGCGAACAGCGGAGGGGCCGTCCCGCCCTCCGAGCCGGGCCACGGCGCTTCCGGTTATACATTGTGGTGACACGTACTACTACTACTAATAATAATAATAATAATGACAATGACGATGATGAACCTTGCATTTGATACGTAGTGATACTCCGGAGCGCTCTGGCTCTCTTGGCGCGCTCGAGTCCGCCATCTTATCGACCTTCACAAGAGGTGCACCTGCTGTCATCAGAGCGAGGGAACGTCAGAAATTAAGAACGTGCTCAAATATTCCCGATAAAATATAATGATCTTTGCGTTTGATATTCAGACTCACGTCGGGTGGATGTCTCTTAAGTGCTTTGCAGACTTTTAATGTGAAGTCTAGTGACTGTATTTGTTGGTGAAGGCGGCAGTCGATTTACACACAGCCATGTCCCGCAAACAGCCACGAAGTGAATGATGAATTTTTATCTGGAAGAAGATCGGCCAGGAGCCTGGGAGAGGGAAACTCCCTTCGCCCACAAATATACGGTCAATTCACCTTACAGCGTATTCTGTGAAGCGCTTTGAGACGTCGAGAAGACGTGAAAAGCGCTGTATCAAATGCAAGGATTACTTCTCCTTTCGAGCTCGAGCCGCATAATCTACCTGAACGAGCACAAACAGGACCTCTGTTTAACCTCTCCTCTGAAGGACGGCATCTAAAAATATTACCCACGACAGGACCACAAGCAAGACGATGACAGAAAGATATCAGTCCCAAAAAAATGTTTGTTTATTGAACCACTCAATTTCAGTAAACGAGAGATAAAGCAGGAATAACAGCCAAAGGCTGAAACAGATGAATATACTGGCAATACGCGTCTTAAGAACAAAATGTCTGCATTGGAAGTTCAACACAGAAGTAGTATTTCACATCATCAGTCACTTAAAATGATTGAACAAAGTTAGGCAGCGCACTCGTAAAGGAACGCAACAAGGGTTTAACTACAGATTAGCTGCTTCTCTTATATGTAAAACACTACAGAGGACACACACTAACACTTCAACGAGGCTCCCGTAAATTGCTGTTCCCGGAGATCGTCCTATAAATGAAGAGAGAGTCGGTGGATTAATAACAAGACAATATATATAGCCAACGCCACCATTTACCTTTATTCTGAAGTTGTTTATTTCCTATTGCGGAACAATAAAATATTATTAATCCTTGCATTTGATATATCACTTTTCATGTCAGAAGGACGTCTCTAAGCGCTTCACAGCATTTACTGTAAAGTGTAGTGACTGTGTGTTTTGTAGGCAAACGCGGCAACGTTCCACAAGCAGTCGTCAAGTGAAAGGCCAATTCTTTTATTTAGGGGATTGTCAGCCAGGACACCAGGATATCCCCTCTTTTTGAGTAGCGCCACGGGATCTATAATGTCCCCAGATGGGATTTCAGTTTAATGTCCCATCCAAAGGACAGCACCTCCAGAAATGCAACACTCCCCCCCGCCCCCACCCCCCATGCAGGTCTTGAACCCACAATCGATTTGTTTTGTAATTTAATTGAACAATACTTAAAAAAATTGGTGTTGAGATATTGATCAGCCATGATCTAACAGAATGACGGAACAGGCTCAAGCGGCCGAATGGCTTCCTGTATATTCTATGTTCCTGTACCAAATATAAGTATATATATGTGTGTATATATAACCTAGATCAGTGAGAGAATCTTTACCGCTAATGTCAATTGCTGCCTTGTCCCACGATGTCAGGACCAATGAGAGAGCCTTTTTCTGTAGGTAATTGAGATTGTTGTATTGTTCGTTGGTCACAGCCGCTCCCTGTTCATAGCTGAACATCCGAATCTGACTGGGACTGAGCGCCACCTGACACAGGAAGGGAAACACAATTCACTTAAAAGAATGAGCAAGACAGTGAGACACAGCAAGAGAAAGAGCATAGAGCTATGCAATACAAAGAGAGAGTGAGAACGTGGAGCAATATATTACAGGGAGACGGTTAATCTCTCTAAACGTCTCTTCAAATGAATTACAAGTTACTGTCATTAGCTTTAAAAGCTACATACACTCAACACCGAGCAGGTATGTTAACAGTAATACAGACACAATTGGCAGATAAATAAGTTTAAAGCAGAGAGAGGGGATGAGGACCTGAAATGGGGAAAGAGGGGGCACGGTGGAGGGATTGAGGGAGAGTGTTCCAGAGTTTTGGGGCGTAGTGGCTGAAAGTGCGGCCACTGATGATGGAACGGAGGGCAAATGGAGGACTCCATGTTGCATCTAATGCACTATAATGATATAGTTATGAAGCACAGAGCAGGAAAAGTGAGATTGGAGCTGACCAAAAGCTCAGTCGGTGAGGTACATTTTACGAAGGCTTTGAGAATGCGGTGGATGGCTGTGAGCATGTGACGTCAACGTGCAGAACTTACAGCAAACTTCTTCGGTGGGATTGCAGCTATGGCAACAGTGGTGAGCCCTTCAATTTGTTCTTTCACCAGAGCCGACAGCACAATGTCAGGCAGACCAGCTTTGCAGACCAGCGAGCGATAGAGGGAAAGCGAGAGAATAAGACAGGAAATCGAATGAGCAAAAGAACGGATGAACTAACAAGCTTCTTCAGCCCATTTGGTCTCTTCCTTCCACTCGATCCACTTGACCGTCTTCCCACTTCAGTGTCAAGCCGTTTCACAATTGAACCGCATTGTCCTGGCTTCAGCCACCCATCTTGATCTAATCACTGATTGTCCCTCTGTGTAATTAAACACTTCCCGGCATCTGTGCTAAAGTCGCCCTTTGCACCCCATGAACCTGTGCCCTCTTGTCCTACTGCCTTTGGTGTACCTGATACCATTGTCCTGGGTTTATTTCTCTCACTTATACACCTCCATAAGATCTGCTCAGAGACGTCTCTTTACAAGGCTGAAGAGCCCAGGCTTATCTCACTGTTTGCAGCTCATTCCCTCGTTTCAGCGCTTACTCTCCAATGCTCTTCCCTTGGAGGGATTTGTAAAGGCAAAGGGGGTCCAGCCACCAGACAGAGAGACATCAAAACCTACCTGCAATCGAGCCAATTTCGGTGAACTCCCCCTCTCCCCACCAGCTGACCTCTCCAAAGGCTTGGGGCTGAGTCAGGAGCCTGGCCAGACATTCCAGCTGAGCCTCACTGCAGCTCAAGCTCAGTTTACCAATCCACAGCACCGCGTCACTGGGAGGAGGGGGAAGGACATCGAGGGAGGGGAAAAAATAGGAGAAATTAATTCAAAAAATGTATTTAACGTTTGATAAAAGCGAAAGGCTTACATCGACTGAGCAGGGGCTTCCCCAACTGACCTGCAGGAGTGGGTTTCCCGTCTTACATGACGTACCTGAGCTGCAGTGGGTCGATCAAAGCGAGATCCTCAGGGTCAATGCCACAGATGAGGTGACCCAAAGCCACGAGGCTGACAGAATCCAACTCGGCTACTGCGGACCTGCTCACCCTCAGGAAGGTGGTGACCAGGACACTGAGCTGCAATCAGACAGGACAGCCATCGTCAGTCAGCGCTGAATTATTGTTTTAATAATAATCATCCTTGCATTTGATTCAGCGCCTTACCAAGTCGTTGAGAGGTCTCAAAGCGCTTTACAGAATACACTGTAAAGTGTATTTTGTGGGCGAAACAAGGCAGCCAATTGCACACAGCAGCGTCCCACAAACTGTCATGGATTGAGTGACCAAATTCTTTGTTGGTTAGTTATTATACTTTTGTTATATTCACACCAATCCTGTGAAAATAGAAGCGTAGGAATAGGAACAAGAGGAGGGCATTCAGCCCCTCGAGCCAGTTTTGCCATTCTATTAGATCATGGCTGATCTGCACCTCAACTCCAAATACCCGCCTTTGCCCCACATCCCTTGGTATCCCTTGTGCTTTGAAATGACCTCCTGGCATGATGCCAGGATTATTTTTGTTAATACAATAGTAATAATGAATAGTATTATTAGTGTACGACTGCCTCACCTGCCTGTCGCTCCACTCCCAGACGCTGCCCAGAGCCATCACCGCCATCAGGTCGGACAAATCCAGCTGCGCCAGCTCCTCCTCCGTCAGGCTGGTGGCCACCCGCCCCAACTGCCCGATCACTGAGGGCTGCAGCTCAGCCGCAGAGCCGTGAATCTGACCAGGAACGAGGAGAGCGTGTGTCAGCGCCTGGCCTTCCCAGCACAGCCGATCGGCACGGAATCAGCAACAAACCGGTTTTGTGAAAGGCGCTGTGTAAATGTCATTTGTTGTTCTTGTCCCCCTCACCCTTTACAGTCTAATATCACGTGAGAAACACACACACACACACTCAGCGCATTAGCTACCCCTACAATTACCTCTTTAACCCTTTCCAGAAGCGAGTACAGTTCAAACGAGCCAAAGTGGGGGTCCTGGCCGATCAACTCCAAGCAGTTTGTGAACTCGTCGTCAGACATGAGGATCAACAGAGACACGGTCCACGCGGAGGGGAAAGTGTTCCTGACTGAGTTGCAGGTCGGAGCTAAAACAGAATCACAGATTGTTACAGCGAGCAAGAGGCCATTCAGCCCATCGTGTCAATGTTGATGCTCCCTCCCCCGCCATTGGAGCTCTCAGATCTAATTCCATTCCCCTCCTCTTTCCCCCCACCCATTGTGTCTGCGCTGATGATTGCTGCCCCACGAGAGCGCTCTCCTCTAATCCCATTCCCAGAAGGATCGATGGTCAGTCACAACCAGAGAAACTCCCTTCTTTTTATCATCCACCCGAAGAAGTCAATTTAACGTCTCATCTGAAGGACAGCACTTCTGACAATGGGAGGGGGACTCCCCCAACCCCCCACCCCTCGCCCCGCAGCACTGCGCTGGGGCGTCAGCCTGGACTGTGAGCTAGAGTTCTCGAACGCTCTGATCTAAAGGCAAGAGAGTTACCAGCTGAGCCAGCTAAGGTTTTATCAGACAGGATGAGGCTCCTTCCTGATGTCCTCCGTTGCTGCTGAGTATCCAGGATTCCGACGGCCCTCTGCAGTAATATCTGCTGTTTTACAAACAGCTCATCCAGCGTGACTTGCTCCATGTTGTCCAGGCAGGCGGCTCCCAGCTGGCTCTCCGCCCAGCGCTGCTGGCTGTGAAACAGCGTCTCGAGCTTCTCCAGAATCAGGATCTCCTGAAGACCACAAAGAAGCCAGGAAAAGGCTGGCGTTTATTCCCGGCCTTCTCCCACTCCTAACCCGGAGTGTCTATGACAATAATCCTTGCATTTGATGCAGTGCCTTATCACACTGTCGAGACGTCTGAAAGCGCTTCACAGGATTTTACTGTAATATTTGGGGATTATTATCCCTGGAAAGCGATCCACCAATTGACCAACAACTGGGTACCTACTTAGAGGAGTGGGGAGTAAGGAAACTTGCCTAGGTTTCATCCCGTGCGGGAATCGAACCCAGGTCCATTTGCTTACTAACCACTACGCTTCGGGAGTGGTTACATAGAGTTACACGTAAAACCTGAGTAACCTTCTGTGTGAACTCTCTTTCTCTTGTCAATGGGACAGCACCAATAACACTCAGCACATGCAGTAAAAATTGATCAGAGCACAAGAAAAAAAAAATCAAATCAACGGACGTCACAAAGTTTTCAAACAGCGACATTTGAGGGCATTTGTGATAGGAACTCGCTCTTGGCTCCAGCAGCTTGTACCTGAGGAAGCTTCATTATGTCTTCAGTGGAAAGGAAGAAGATCAGCCTGTCTAACTTATCCAAGGTGAGAGATGTCCAGTTGGAGGAGTCGCTGGAGAAAATAAAACAATAATATTTTTAATATAATAATAAATAGTAGAATAATAATTGCAATATCACAGAGAACTTCAATTCAAGCCATTTTATTTCACTGGTTTGTGTTAAACCTTCCTCATCAGTCTTCAGGAAGATTTGCTTGTGGGGTGGGTGTGGGGGTGTGATGGTGGAGATGAAACCATGAACACCAGAGATCATAGGAACATAGAAACAGGAGGAGGCCATTCAGCCCCTCGAGCCTGAATAGATCATGGCTGATCTGTCCCCCAACTCCGTTTACCTGCCTTTGCTCCATATCCCTTGACACTCTGACCTAACAAACGTCTATCCAACTCGGTCTTAAAAATTTCCAATTGATCCAGTACCCTCAGCCTTTTGGGAGAGGGAGGGAGAGTTCCAGATCTCCACTATGTGTCTTTGTGTGAAAAGAAGGAATCCCGCCCAGTTTCACGCACCCAAACATGGCGTTCTCCGTTAGCATGAATCCCAAGAGGCTTTGCTTTTCATCGCCGAAGCAGTAACCTCTGACTTTCCACAGGTTCGTCTTCAGGTCCAACCGGGAGACGTTCATGAAAATCTCATCTGGCACGAATACGGACGCCTCTCCCAGCAAATCCAGCTCCGCTTCGGAAAACTCCCCGGTGTATAGATTCTGAGCAGACGTGAAATTGATGTGAAATTGACCAGCAAATAAGAGGTTCAATAGGAAGTTTTTTTAATTCAAAAAAAATCCCGTTTTAAATCGAGATTTATAGTAAACTCCTGATAACTCATCGCTCCAAGGGGAAAGAATCCCTACCCGGTGATGAGTTATCAGGAGTGGAGAGTTAGGCATAATATGGATAAATACATAAATATAAATAAATGTAGCTGTGATTTTGACATCATGATGAGTTAAGCGGTAGTACCAATTTACGCCAGGGTTGAGTTATCAGGAGTTTACTGAATAGTAATAATAATAAGAATCCTTGTATTTAATACAGAGTTTCATGTCAGTAGGACGTCTGAAAAGCACTTCACAGATGTCATTGTAAAGTACAGTGACTGTGTGTAGTGTAGACTTAGATCCAGATTTTTAGCTCCAGGTTATAGATGATTCCAATTGACATCCAGTGTTGGCACAGCCTGGTTGCACGCACACACACACACACTTCAGAGGCTTACAGAGCCTAAATGTTTTCTCACCAGCTCCTCCACAACCCGGTCCATCAGGAGGCTCTGCTTCACTCTGGGGATCCTCAGGAAAGGGATTGGATTTCGTGCCAGGATTTGGACCAGATTCTGCATCATATCCCTGGAGAATTGCCGAATATCTCCCAGCCTACAAAAACACAACCTTCCTGAAATGTCTGATACTTACATACTCACCCGCACTATACTCCATACCCCCATCACATCAGTCCTAGCCAGTCCCACTTGCTCCCTATCGATGTCAAGATCCTCACACTCGTCATCAATCCCTTCATGCCCTGGCACCTCCCTCCCGACCTCTCCCACCTGCTTACTCCCCAACCCACTACCTGCTGCCTCTGCTTGGCTGGCTCCGGCCTCCTGCATGCCCTCCGTACCCTCCGCTCCATCATAAGTGGCCACGCTTTCAACCATGACGCCCAGATACTCTGGAACTCTCTCACTCAATCCCCCCGCCTTGGCCCCTACTTCTCCATCTTCATGTCGCGCCTGAAGACCTTCCTCTTTGACCGTTCCTACGGTCGCCTCCTCCCTCCCCCTTCGCTCGGTGTCAGACTACGCCAATGTCAAGCATTCTGGGACGCTAATCTGCGAGGTGCAGCGCCTTATATAAATGCAAGGTGTTGTTGTCGATACACTCAGCGCCGACCTCGATCTTCTTTCCCCATCACACACCTCACTCCACTAACAGACATGCCCATTCATAGCCTGTTGTGTGCAGTCACTTACTGAAGGTCAAATAGCAGTTGGGGTCCCATGCTGGCCACAGTCTCCACAGAGATGTTGACATGATCCAACCTTTCCAGGATACACTTTTTCTGGGAAGAGACGGTCACAAAGTAAATTGGCTCCAAATCTGTCGAGGCTTCTTTTAGGATGTCGGTGGGGGAATCAAGGAATATGGAACACAGGCAGGTCATTGGAGTTGAGATACAGATCAGCTATGATCTTATAGAATGGCTGAACTGGCTCGAAGGGCTGATTGGCCTCTTCCTTTTCCTATGTTTCAATGTTCCTATGTTTGTGGGATGGTTGGCTGGTGAGAAGGTCGGTGAGGAGAGGGTGGGGGGGAGTGGAGGGAGTGAGAGGGGGATTCATTGACCGAGGCGGAGGGGCTCAGGACTTACCAGGGAGGTGTGCAATTCAACCGGAAGATCCCGAAAGAAGCTGAGAAGCTTCAGGAGAGAGTCAGGCGTCGTCAGTCCTCTCAGCGTCGGACAGTGCACACCTCGGGCCACGGAACCCAAAGAACTACAGCCACGGCCACACAAACACAGGTCATTAACAGCCCTGCCCTCCGCTACTCCCAGCTCGTGTGGTGAAGCCTTTGCTGTGTGGATCCCTTCTCTCTCCACCACACAATTCTACGAATTTTCACCCCGGTGTACAGACAGGGAGGTCATGTGCACACGCCTTCCCAGAGGAGGGCAGCACGTTACAGGAATCCGAGGAAAAGCTGATTTTTTTTAACTGAATCCCGGAGTCCCAGCCCTGAGCACCTTTCCTGGAAGCCCTGTCCCAATCGTCAATTAGTAATAACGATCCTTGCATTTGATACAGCGCCTTATCACGTCGTTGAGACGTCTCAAAGCGCCTCACAGGATTTACTGTAAAGCGGAGTGACTGTGTATTTTGTGCGCGAAACTCGGCAGCCAATTGCGCACAGCAGCGTCCCTCCCACAAACAGCCGTGGATTGAGCGATCAGTTTTGTAATGAATTTTGGGAGGGATTATGACCCCCCCCCCCACCCCCCGCGGAAAGTGATTTGCCAATCGACTAACAACCGGGGTCCTACTTACTGTCAGGTAAACAGAGGCGTGTGTGTGGAGTAAGGAAACTCGCCCAAGGTTTCGCCCTGCTGGGAATTGAACCCGGGTCCACTCGCTTGAGAGGCGAGGGCTCTAACCACTACGCTCCGGGACTCCTCAATCGTGTTCATAACCACGCAAGGTAACCCTGTTCCAGCTGTTACATGTTTTAACCCTCAGTAATTTCGGCAGGCGTGCACTCACTCCGTGGCTTCAACCGTCGCTCACTGTCACTGCTGAGGATACGCCAAAGAAAAGTAACTTACATGAAGAAGTCGGCGGTCATGTTGTGATTATTTGCTTCCAAAACATTCTCGAACAGCATCTGTGCCTGAAACGAGAGAAGGAATGAGAGAGAGAGAGAGAGAGATGGTTTATTATTTCCAAGCTTCCCTTGAATCAAGTGACGCTTTGGCTCAGTCAGTTCACACTCACACCTCCAAGCCAGAAGTCTGTGGGTTGAAACCCTACACTAAGACTTGAGAGCTCACGACCCAGGCTGACACTATGCTCCAGTGCTGTACTGGGGTGGGGGGAGATGGAGAGAGAGAGAGCACTGTCTTGTCAGAGTTGCTGACTAGTTAATCTAGTTAATAACATGACAATCTGGACCCCATTACCTGCTGCACATTCCACTTGGTTTGGCTCAGGTCAGTGATGTTGGATAACAGAGTGGTGATCTTTGATCTGATGGATATCAGAGGAACATGCTTTATCAGTGGAGGCAGAGCTGTGAGCCACTTCACGTCCTCGGATTCCTTTAGAAAAAAGCTTCACGTCGGTTACAAAATAAATCTTTCGTTCATTTTACACACCTCTCTGTGGTCTATGCAGTATTGTGCATTTGCCTAGAAAATACGCAGTAAATCCTGTGAGGCACTTTGGGATGTCCTTCCGACATGAAATTATCCCTCCAAAATAAAAAAAACGGTGGTCACTCAATTGACTGCTGTATTTCTCCCACAAAATACACAGTCAATCCACTTTACAGTATATTCTGGGAAGCGCTTTGAGGCGTCTCAAAGTTGTGTTAAGGCACTATATCAAATGAAACGATTATTATTATTTATGATAATTATTATTGCGCCAAACTGATTATCTGACAGATAAAGGTGAGGTTGGGGTGAGTGTACACTAATTATAAGGAAGGCTAACATTATTACACCGGCTACTGCAATTAGCAAAGTGAGCGAGGAGACTGATTGCTTGGGAGGGGGGAGGATATGATTTGTGCGGTTGAGTTACACAAACAATCCCTCTGCGTGTTGCTAACCTTGGATAATCTGAGGCTCTTCCGAGGGCTCGCATTACCGCTTTTAAACCCGAACTTGCTTGGGTCAGGTCCAGACAAAGGTGCTGGAATAATGTAACCACTTCCTTCCCATCACTCACCTCTTCCAAGTCTCGGATATCTTTCCTAGTCCTGAAACTTCACACCAGAAAATTCCTTCACACACGCACCTACACCCCCACCCCCACCACACCCCACCCGGTCTTATCCATTATTCACGTACCGAGGCCATTGTTAAGGAAACAAACTCCTCACTCTTCCCGCACGCCTCTTGAAGGGCGAAATCCAAAAGAACAAGGTGCCTTTCACCTTGGGAGGACGTCCCGAAGCGCTGGACAGTCAAGGGTGTGCACCCGAGTTGGGGGTTGGATCAGGTGGGGTGGAGGGCAGGGGGAGCGAGGATTTTGAACTCGATCCTGTGGGGGATGGCCATGCCAGTGGAGCCAGGTGAGAATGGGGGTGACAGGGTCACGGAGCCTGGTGCGGGAGAGGATACGAGCTGCAGAGTTCCGAATAACCTGCGGTTTATAATAATAATAATCCTTGCATTTGATATAGCGCTTTTCACGTCGGGAGGACGTCCCAAAGCGCTTCACAGAATATACTGTAAAGTGAATTGACTGTATATTTGTGGGCGAACGCGGCAGCCAATTGCGCACAACAATGTCCCACAAACAATCGTAGATTGAAAATGACCAATTTATTATTGTTTTTGGTTTTGGAGGGATTATTATTAGGCTCTGTGTGGAGTAAGGAAACTTGCCCAAGGTTTGGCCCTCTGCCTGGAATTGAACTCAGGTCTCTCACTTGCAAAGCGAGTGCTCTAACCACTGAGCTACAGGACTCCACTGCGGAGGGAAGAGTTGGGAAGACCGACAAGCAGGGAGTTAGCGGAGTCGAGTCTGGCGATAGTGAAATGGAGGTGCAGAAAGTCAGGATACTGACCCAGAGTTTGTTGACAATGACTGCCTTCTGCACAGAGCTCAGGGCACTGCTGTGCCTTGCGATGCTGGGAAAGGCTGGCTCCAATAGCTCCAACGGGGAGACTCGCAGGAACGCTGGGCTCAGTCCCACCACCGCAGAGCCCAGGCCACCCAGGATTTCCCCCGTCACCTGCACGAGACAACAACAACACCAACAACAACTTGCATTTATATAGCAGCCCTCATGCAGGGTAGCGTCTCAGAGAGCTTGACACTTGGCGATTTGGAGGAAAGAAACACTTACATTTGGAAGTATCTTGTCGACGATGGCCCTGGCCTGAAATAAACACAGCAAATATTAGGAGAGGGACTTGCAATGGATCAGCCCACACTTCGTCCGCAAGCTGTGCTGTGCTGGATTGAGATACAGTGGGTCGCTGTGTGCAGATCTGGTTGTCACAACATGAGGGAAGGCAGTGGGGAGCCCATTGGAGCCTTAGGGACGTCACAGATATTTTTGGTCAGTCGGCAACGCAGTTAAACACTTGTTCTGAATACAATCAAGTACTTCTAAATACAATTATCATCATTCTTCCACGTTTCAGTTGTTGGTCGGCGAGCGCATTGTAGAAAAAAAAACACACACCTGTGGGAGGGGGGTAACAGGACTTTGTGAACACCCTGTACGTCGCTGAAACGTTGAAAAATGAAGAGAGAAGGGGGGCCTTACCTGGAGCGGAGAGACAGTGACTGTGCCGAGGCTGGGGAGGAGGGACAGGACCTGTGTGGGGCGAAGCTTCTGAATGAAGGTCAGCCCCAGAGCAGGCAGGAGGCCAGCCAGGCTGGACAGCTGCTGGGAGCTCAAAGCCTCCACGTTACTGATGTTGGACGCGCCGAGCGAAAACTCTGCCAACTGTGTGTGAAGGAGAGACGGCCATGAGTGGTGTTCCACTGGTTCCTCCGTAACGATAATCTTTGCATTTGATACAGCGCCTCACCACGTCATTGAGACGTCTCTAAGCGCTTCACAGGTTATACCGCGAAGTGTAGTGACTGTGCATTTTGTGGGCAAAACGCGGCAGCCAATTGCGGACAGCTGTGGCCCACAAACAGTCGTGGTTTGAGTGAACAATTGTTTTGGGGTGTGAAGGGATTATTACCCCCGGAAAGCGATCCGCCAATCGACTAACAACTTTCTCTTGTCAAAGAGCGTCGTGGGGCAGTTTCTTTAATGTCCATCTGAACAGGCGCAGATGGGACCTCGGTTTAACATCTCATATTTACGACAAAGCACCTCCTCTCCCCGCCCAGGACAGCACGACATTCAGCTCAGCTCAACATTCGCTCCCCCACCCTCCGTGAGGAGCTTGACCGAGCGACTACTGTGAACGTCCGTCCCACCAACCAGTAAAAAAAAAGTAACTCACTAATCCGTTGGGGACAAACGTCCCATCCACCAGGCACAGCTGTAGCTGCTTCTTGATGACCTCAAAGACCTGTGGATCTCGCTTGTAGGCAACCAGGTCCCGGCTGCTGGCAAAGCAAACCAACCGCTCCAGTCTGAACGGCCATCGGCAGCCAGTGAGAGAGAGATCACAAGAGAGGGTTCGGGTGAAAGGTCCCTTCAGCTCATTTGATCTAATCTTTACAGAATATCCACCCTCCCATCTTCCCATTACGTCATTGAAAAGTTTATTAACGTGAGTCAAAGTGTCCTGTCCTCGACCACCTTCTGCTGTGATACCCCCTTATCACATCGTTGTGACCTCTCAAAGGGCTTCACAGAATATATTTTAATGTGGATTGACCGGGTTCCTACTTACTGCTGGGTAAACAGAGGCGTGTGTCTGGTGTAACGAAATTTGCCTAAGGTTTCACCCTGTGCTCTTCCGAGGCGAGTGCTCTAACCACTACGCTACCGGACTCCTACTGGGATAGATAAACAACAATAAAAAACAACAGTGCCATGAAGCACAGAGACTCGCACCTCTGAAAGTCTGAAACATTGAGATGTTGTTCCTGGTCCAGGATGCTCTTAATGATGTGAGTCTCCTGTATCTCACTTAAACTGTTATTTACCAGCACATCCACCTCAGCCAGCAGCTGAAAGACAAGAGGAAGGAGACGTCAGCTCCTGTTCTCGTTGGAAAACGCTGTCAACGCAAACAGTTCAGTCGCTCCCCTTCCAGCTCACGCCTCACACTCAGCTCCTAGGTGTCAGTAAGGTAAATTAAGGGTACAAAATCTCTCTGCCACTGCACAGTGAAGGATTTGCAACCAAGTTGCGGGCTGGAGTCAAGAGAGGTGGAGGGCCAAGGGAGTGGGGGTAGGAGGGTGACCAAAGACACGGCTAAAGAGGAAGGTCTTGAGATGGGCCTTGAAGGAGGCAACGGAGGGGAATAGGTGGAGGGAATAAAGAGGGACCTTATAAAGAGGGAACGAAAGGACGGCTAAGTAACATTGGCTGACAATGCTAAGTAACATGCCCGCGCTCAGGTTCACACCAAAGGACTGGTCAGTTGCACAAAGTATATAGTAGCAAGATTTGCTACTCCATTAGACAGAGGGGACAAACACTACCTTTACCAGTGCCCTGTCTGTTATGGGTAGTTTACCTGCTGAGGAGAAAGCTGCTGGAAGATTTCAAACGGTAGGTACGCCAGGATGTTGCCAACTCGCTGGAGGAATGCTGGAGTCCAGGCTGTGACATCCCTGCTATTCCCAAAGCTCACTGTCCACAGGGCAAAGGCTCCCCTCTGGGCATCACGCAACATCCCAAAGTTCTGATTAATTATTGTTAGCCTGAAAAATAATCAATGGCAAAGCCGTGTGGTTTTAGCCGATTAGACTCCAGCAGTTACCCCAACGCACACTCTGGGCTCCCCCCAAGCCTTGGCTCTTGCCAACCTGCGCCTAATACTTTCCGGAATTAGGTAAGCGGGGTGCGTCCCTCCAGAAAGAGAGGGAGAGAGAGAGACAGAGAGCCCATTCCATTCCAACAATCTGTCTCTGGGATTTCCACGCATGGATGGGATGCATGGAATTCTCAGTTTGGTTTGGTGATGAGTTTCCGCACGTGTCAGACACCTGGCTGACCACCAAACAAATCTGAAAATTGCATGGCAATTGACTTCCAGAATACAAGCGCTCCCCATACTCCCATTAAAGCCACTCAGCCTCTTGAATCGTTAAATCCCTGACTCTCCAGTGCTGAGGAAACGAGACCTACACTTGCTCCGTGTCCAGGGACTGCGGAAAAGCCAGGATGTCGGAATCTGTCAGGAGAGGCAGGAAGTGAACGAGCTCTGGGAAGATCCTAAAGTCAGCAACGAGGAACGTCTTGAGGAAGACAGAGGCCAGGACGCTCGCGGGACCATCCGGAATCTGAAATTAAAATCCCTGAGCATTGTCAGAACTGAGAGGCTCCAGAGAGAAATTGCACACAACAACAACAACAACCAATTGCATTTGTACGACTCCTTTCACTTTGCAAAGGGTGTCCCAAGGTACTGGACAATGAGGGGTTTGCACCTGAGCTGGGGGTTGGGATCAGAGAGGACGACCGAAGGCACGGTCGAAAAGGAAGTTTCTCGAGACGGAGGCAAGGGGTGTGCGAGGTGGAGGGACTCCGGGATGGAGTTCCAGAGGGTGGGGGCCCAACCTGAATGCCGATAGTAGAGCAGGCAGCGCAGGGGGATGTGGAGCATGCCAGTGCCCGCAGAGCAGAGGGAGTGGATAGATTGGTAATAGGCTTTAAGAAGTTGTACTAGGTGCCGAGCTTTTCAAACGCATCCCCAACAGACATGTTGCTTTAAGAACGGTGCTCGAGTACAGAGATGTTGGCAGGTTGGAAGCTATCTTGTAAGTGACACCAGACCGTTCCGTACCTGCAAATGATCCCAGTTTGTGTTCAACAGCCTCAAGAGTTGGTTTGCGGTCTGGATATCCATTGTTAGCAGTAGAGCTCGGAGGTCCTGTTCAGAGAGTCTCAGGTATTCCTATAGGGAGGAGGGAGAGTGAGATAATGTATGATGATGAGCCCGATTAGTGTGTGGACGGATGCCACAGAGTGAAATCCAGGTTAAAGTCGCACTCATTAAGTACTGCACATCTTATTTCATATTTATCATAATCCTTGAATCCGATACAGAGTCTTATCAGTTCATCGAAACATCTCAAAACACTCCACAGGATTCGCTGTGAAGCGTAGTGACTGCGTAATTTGGAGGTGAGGGTAGCAGCCAATGTATATGCACGTCAACTTCCCACAGACAGCGTTGAAGAGAATGACCAATTTTATCTGGGGGCTTGTTGGCCAGGACACCAGGAAAGAGAAACTTCCTTCTCTTTTCAAATGGTGGCATGGGGTCGTTCTAACGGTTGCAGGATCTCAATATTAATGCCTCATCCGAAAGGCGCCACCTTTGAAACTGCAGTAGACCCCCAGCACTGCACAGGAGTGTGAGCTCAAAGTCCTGACGTAGGGCTTGAACCCACAACCTTCTGACTGAGAGGTGATTGTGCTACCAACTGAGCTAGGCTGACACGCTGGGTCCTGATGGGGTGAATTTTGCTTTAATGTCTGCCAAAGCTGCTAAGAGCAAAATAAGTGCAGCATTGAGGTGTGAAGGGCTGCGTGTCTCTACAATACCTTCACTAGATCCAGGCCTTCAGCTGTTGGCCCTGCACCCAACTGTACCAATTCCAACAGGACGGACTGCGGAAACACACAAAGAAAAGACAGATGTGATAAACATCAAAATAACATTAACCGGGTCGGATTTGTGGGAAGCGATACACAAACACACATATCCACAGCAACAGCTCGCTTCACATAAAATAACCATCTCAAAGAGCTTCACAAAATAGAACTGATTGAAAGACCGATTGGTCGTTCGATTAGACGAAGTAAAGTGCAGTGACTGTGTATCTTGCAGGCAAACGCGGAACCCAATTTGCGCACAGCAACGTCCTATATCGTAAAAATACGAAACGGTTTATGGAGAAAGAGAAGGGGAAAGTCTGATTAATAAAAAGGGCGATTTTTGTTTTACGCCAAATAAAAATAGCAGAGGTTAAAGGTTCACATTTCTATAACTTACCCCAAAACACTGCAACAATTCCTTGTGACGTGCATCGTTAATGTTCTGGCCCTGCGCGTACTCGATCACTGCTTGCGCCACCACTGTCC